TGGGACCCTAATGCATTTACTGATCAACCTCTCTACGCGGGTTCAGTCGGACCTGCCGTTTTTTCTTTCTTTCAATCTAAAGCAATAAAAGTAAACATTACCCTTCTGACACGTGTCTGTTGCCCTTGACGCAGGATTTAGACCAGCGACTGTAATGCTAATTTCCTGACCGTGTGGGCCTTGTGGCATGGAAATCGAACCCACCAAGACCTTTTCAACTACGGCCAGCTTTACATAGAGCTAAAATCACGTGTCTTTCACGTGAAATCAGTGTGATAGGTAAGGGTATTGGTTGTTTTTCTCTCCTTTCCTTTTCCGTTTAATGGGATTTAAATTCAGGGCAGAAATATTTCATTATTTAAAGTAAATTAAAATCTCAGTTGACAGTTGACACCAGCAGGGCGATCAATTCCTGAAGAAGAAACACAAGCATACGATGAAAAACGCACATTATGGTGTGCATGCGTTATTGATGTATGAATTAATTTGTTATTGGTTTAAAATTATCGATTTATGTAACATTTTATGTATAAATTACTAGCAGCTACTTTTATGATGTGCATGATGATTTTCTACTATATTCAACTGTTCTGTTAATGAAATCTAAGTTAAACCTAAAATGATTCTTTTATTGTCTCCTAAAATGAAAAGAAAGTAGAAAAGGAGTTGTGAAGAAATCATTTATTCACACCTTTGAAGTTGGTGTTGTTGCTTCATATTGTTTCAAATTATCTCAAATCGGCTGATTGTATTCTTACTTTAGAAAAAAGGACGTTTAAGATCGAGTGATTTTTGTTAATCTGTTATTATCAACAAAAAAATAAATAAACAGAAAAAGAGGAAAAAAATGTTTTTAGCTGGTCAGTGTAGAGCTTTTTAGAATAAACTATTAATAAAACACAAAATATAACATCAAAACCTTCGACGTATTTCATTTTGTAACATTTAACACGTTCGCTATCTATAAAAGAGACTTCAACTAGTGTTCTTTTCTTCCAGCCAACCAATGTCACGTTATCCACACAACAAAAAAAAAAAAAGAGTTCTTTTGAACGTGAATGTTTAAGATTCGTCTGTCTAAACTACACTAATTCTAATTCGAGTTTTACATGGAGCTCTAAAACAGTGTTCAAGTTTGTTTTGTTATTTTTTCAACTAAGTTAAAGTTTGCATGCAAATATAAAAATCAAATAAATGTGTATATTTCTTAATATATTTTTCAACTAACAATTAATTCTTCTATCTCAATACTGCATATCAGTCTAGATTTGAATGTTAACTTCATCTACACTTCAATATTTATGACTACTTTATAATTACTTTGCACTCAATATATAATCAACTATTGTTTTTAATATTTTTAACAAAAATAATTATTTTAAAATATATTTTATGTTTACATTTCAGGTCAAAGATTGAATTATTCAAATTAATTCATTAAAGTAATTTTATCTTGATTTGTTTGTCGAATTGTGGAGTTTAAATGACTATTTTATCGAATCGAATTTGAGTAGCTATTATAAAAGAGTGCATTTCTCTCCTGAATCAGACTGGACATGCTCACATGCAGGTTCAAATCTTGTCGTGGGTAAATTGAAAAACCTGAGTGGGAAGTAATTGCGCCTTATATAAAAATGCTTCACAGGCACACATATATATGTTGCATTCCGCTCGGGGACAAAATGAACATGCGCCCTCAGTTTTTGCACCCCCAGCAATTCATCCAGGCCTCAAAACCTACCTCCCCAAACACACTCCCAACCATGCACGAGTGCACTACACAAGAATTCTGCAAGGAAGACTTTGAAGCAGAGCCACTTGATTTGCATAAACACGTTTGGAAGGATTTGGGCATCAAATATGATGAAAGAAGGTGGTCTTAGGGACCAATCTAAGACGACCTTTTTTGATGAGTGTTGAATTATCAATTGGGATCACAACAAATGATTTACCAGCAGTCAAGCTGACTCTAGCTATGCTTTTTTTTGGGGTAGTTTTGCATCTCCTGAGCTGTAAGGCTGGAATGAGAGTTATTGATTATGATTTTGATAACCGTGCTAAAGAATTGTGGGAGGGACCAAAAACTAGTCGTTTTCAGAGTAGTTTCAGGTCATTTTAACCTAGATATTTCAATTGATTCTGTGGGGAATCTCTAATTTAACTTTTACACGACACTGCTATTTGCACATGACCAACCAAGTCATCCGTTGACCATCACCTCTCTTACTGGTAAATTTTCGCAGGATAGGATTTAATTTTTTCGAAATTGGCTTTCCTTGGAGAAAGGATCAATCATTGTAATAAACTGGGTGCGGGCTTCCTGAAAATGAAGATTTGGTTAGACATGGATATCTGGGCCTTTGATCCAACTAATCCATGCCTGCCGCTGAAGCCCCTTTCCCAAGGAACCTCTTAAGCGATCACTGGCCTTACGGGCCGAGCATATGGCTAACATGAGAACTTCAGCAGTCAAAGAGCAACGAACTCTACACCTATTATATAAGAGTTTCTTCACCAACTCAAATCACCGAGACCACTTCGTAATAGTTTTATATGTATGATATCTGGTGTAGGGGGTGACTTAACATACTTATTCCAACTCTTAGGATCTCAGCCTCAAGTCCTGAACCGGCGAACCATATATGCCATTGCTTTGTTATGGACTGAAGAATAAACAAGAAACGTGTATAACAGTATTGTTAGAATGTTGGAGAAAAAGAGCAAACGAAACACCTAACAGTTTTTTTCTTCCTCCCGTCCTTACATGTGACTTTTTCATCAACCAACCTCAATTTTATAGCCTTATAGGATCCAGCTTTGTCAAAACTAATTTGTTGGAAATCTTTTCTTACAGTCTAATTAAGCATACTTAAATACACAACTTTTCCCTTTACTTTTCACAGGAGTCTAGTCAAACTTAAATCTAAATCTCATGGTAATTTATGTACGCCCAAGTGTTACGCATCCTTTTTCAAAGCAATCTCGAGCAAGCTGATGCCCATTGGGCATGAGCACTTAAAAATTTGAGAGCAAATTTTAGCTATGGTGCTTTATTGAATAGCTACCACAATAGAACTCCGTACCCATTTTCCAACTTATTGGGTTACCCTTGCCGGGAAAAGGTGAAAATGAAGCATAACAATTAAAAGAGATTCAAACAAATATAACGGTGGAGCCTTGTAGGTCTCCAATTGCCTTGCTGTGGGCTTCCAAAATAATGGATCTGAAATTTATATGGCTCTAAATAGTTGGGTCCATTAGATGCTGATTTGAAGGACGCTAGGTGAGTATGTTGGGCTAGGCCTACACTGGTGAACTCCCATAACAAGCGTCAGGAGGAAGGGACACTTGTCACATAACACCCAGTCCTAGATTCATCGGTTCAACGTTCAAGCCAGCGATCCTGACTCCAAAAAAATTCCCCTTCTTTTGAAATTAATATCTGAAAAAAAAAATTACTGACGAATTGAATTTTTTTTTTAATAAATACACCATATCGATATAAATAATGCATTTTTAAATTATATAAAATATAAATTTATTTTTTATTAACGTATAAACTTATTCAAAAATACTACCAAATGTCGAATGCGTTCACATCAACTGTCAAGAGTCGAGCCTTGTCAGCGAGTTAAAATATGCCGACATCTAAAAAACTAAAACAACTGCTTCATTTTCTTAGCACGTGGATTGAAGCATGATTGTTACTTTGAAGGTATTAAATGTTACTAATAATAATACTAACAGATTGAGACTACTTCCCCTTGATTTTTCTATAAATCGATATGGATCTGTCCGTCCTTGAAAGGTGGATGATCTGTGTTTCCCCAACAACTCCAAATTCGTAGTAAGAAAACAACACTCATTAACCAACAAAGTCCCTTTACATACGGGAACCACAAAATTTCGACCAGATAATAGGTTTCATTAAATATCATGGGACCAAACAGAGTCTAGACTCTGGAGAGAGCCAGATGGTCCAAGTTCCTGCTTTGACTGATGAGGTGTTTCGAGGGAGTCATTTTCGTAGTAGTTTCAAATCAAAGGTATCCGCTTAAAACTAAAAATTTGATTTGGTCAAAGATAGCCGATGCTTTGTTCAAATTTGCGAAACTAATAGTTTAATGTGAATTTTCTACCATGTATGCGACCATGTTTCCCGGTGTATGAAATTCTTATAATCTTTTTCTTGTTTGAATGGTAGAGGAATGAAAATTTTAAAGCCCGCAAGAGCATACTATCCTATTGAACGATTTTTACTTGCAAGGCAACAAATTAATCGGACCAATTCACTCAACAAGAAGTAGATGTCTCAGGTGCGTAACTACAGTCAATTGGCCATCTTCTTGCCAAATATGTACTTTAGGTTCAAACACCTACCGTCAGCGAAAGTTATGTTTAATGGTCCATCAGAAACACGTACCCACCTCTCTACTTACCCGCGTATTCCACAAACAATCCTCGAAAACATATCTAGGAACGCCTAATATTCTCGGCATTTCCATCCCCTAGCATCGTTTGAAGGACCATCGAAGATTCACCAGTAAATATTGCACGACTAGTCAAAGATTCGCCGCTATATATTCCCCAACTACACGTCAGAAATTTGCTCCGCGCCTGGCTTGTTTTTCAGCAGACAAGAATAGCAAAAATGAACAAACCGAATTAAGGACCAGAAGAAATCATCTACATGAAATTTAACTAATTGGGTTTATATATGTTCTCAAGATATACACAGCAACTCTCCGAAAGATTTACAGAACCACCAAATTTTTCTTCTATTTATGCCACTTAAAAGAGTAGCCTTCACAAAATAAATAAATAATAATAATAAAAGAAAAACTTAGTAGACTTCTTAAAGGCCGGATGCTCTGACCTGACAGGAAATTCTGCAAACCACAAAACCCAGGGGCGTCAACTTCAACGACTAAGAAGTTCGAACACACTAAAAATAACCTTAACATGTACAATACTTTTAACCTCCCTAGGGAGAAGGTCAACTAGAATATTGAGTCCAAGTAAAAATTGTAATGCCTCCTGTTGAACTCTAACAAACTACCATAAGTACGGTCAGCAACACCAACGAAAAGAGCTTCTGTGTCGGGGCTGAAAGAAATGCCAGCAATCTCCCCAAATAGATCAATCTCCTGGCATTTGACGTAATCAGATTGTGCGTCAAAAACATGAATGAAGTCCGCAGGCTCAGCCATAGCCAAAAACCGGCCATCTGAGGTGAACTTTAGAGCTCTTATTGCTCCCATATTCCCTTTTAATACTGTGAGGGACTGGGACAGATTCCTTGTATCCCAAAGCCTGCATGTAGTGTCCTGGTTTCCAGTGGCCAAAATGTGCCCGTCAGGGTGCCAGGCTGATGCAAAGGAATAATCCAAATGCCCTTTAAGGCTGCCAGTCACTTTCCCCGAATTGGCATCAGCAATCAAGCACTCAGAACTGTCCCCAAGCACTGCAACCAGTTTACCATCTGGACTAACAGAGGTGTTCTGAGAAGAACAATTTTAAGAACCAGTGTAAGCATGTTATAAATATGGCAAACCAGTACAGAATAATGAACTCTGAGGGAAGTTTCTGCTGCAAGTCACTCACATTTACAGACCAATCAAAGGAGAAACAATTTAGGGAAGCAAAAGTTTCAGCATCAATCACTCTAAGTAGAGCATCATTATTCGCAGCCATAATCCTCATTGAGCCACTGCAGAAAACATGATTCAAGTTATCTGTCACCTGGTAGGAAGAAGACCTTAAAATTTTTCTATAGACAAAGTTCCTTACTTGTGATTACGGTATACATCCACAGCATTGGTTATGGCATTTTCACCTGTTGTTATTTTGTTGCAGAATGCAACTCCAGGTTGATTCAGATACTGACCAAATGAAAGAACATATATCACATATTGAGTTAAATGCTCAAAGGAAGCAGATGTATACATCCAGCCACATTGATACCTTGCAAATAAGTTCTCCCTGGAAACCGCCCGCCACCATTAAGTTCTCTTTAACAGCCATAGTGCTTATCTGCACTCTGGATAGTGACTGAGACAACAATCCTGGGCGTTGCTGTAAAAAGAGAGAGAAAGATTTCAGACATGAATTAAGAGCAAAATTAAATGATGATTGTGAGGTTCCCCCAAGAATCCAAAGTCGCATACCCAGGTTGGAGAAATTGGCTTAGCCACATTGAGTACTTCTTCACCTCGTCGCAGTAATGATGACCAATGCATAACTGAGTAATTTTGCATAAGATACACATCATGCTTTGATGTTGACCACAGCAGATTCCTCAGCTGCACAATGCAAAGACAAACAAGGAGCAAGAACATTAATAACAAAATTCAGAAGCCCTCCAATTTGAATTTCCAAAACTACTGTTGAAAAAAATGACAAAATCAAGAATTGAAGTAGGTCTTTCAAGCATGAAAAATTGAACTGCATACATATAGTTGCTCAATGTGCACCATTAGGAATAATTAGGGCATAGAATGATTATATTGTAGAATAATTGTATGTGGTTTCAAAAATGAGACATGCAGTTCCAAAATGAGGATGCATGAATGATGTTTATATTGTAGAATAATTGTATGCAGTTCCAAAATGGATGCATGAGCAGTAAATTGGAGGAAAAGAGCATGAAACTAACAAACATGAGGGAAGTATACAAACTACACAAAAGACTACGAATGCATCTGACAGATAATATAAGTGCCACATGCAGAAATGCAATTTGCGTTAATTTGGCCCCTCGAGCTGGACATAAGCTAGATAAACTACAGAAATTCGTACAGAGGAGGCCTCTTAAATGCTCAGATATTTTCCTATCATACCATATAAACAACGTATCTTTAATTGCGCCAGCTGCTCAGATATAACTTCCACCCTGCTTAAAAGGCTGAAATAAAGAGAGATAGCAGTCCTAAATGGTACAGATTGGTTAAGCCGTATAGAATATTCAACAATCAACTGAAAGAACATATACAAACTATGAGATATTGTAAAGCATGAACACAAATCATAGGTCAACAAACCATGGAAGGAAGACAAGTATCACAGTTAGCAAGAACATACAGCAAATAGATGGTCAAAAGGAAGCATGGAAGAGAGTAACAAAACATTAATCCGCTACAATTAGCTATGCACCATGGTTTCACAATTTCTACAAAAGTTTCAGCTCTTGTAGAGTTAGTAATATATAATAGCAACATGAATTTACTTCAGAAATATTTACCACCGGAATCATTAAAATAATTGTTTGATGATAGTGTTAACATTATAATGCACTAGATGCAGCTTGACAGACAATCAGCTTATGACGCTTAGAGCATATGCGTGTTGGTAGATGCGTTTACATGATCGCAGATGCATCTATAATGTATGCCCCTATGTGAGAATATCAGGAATTCCAATTCATACCATCATTGCTATTCAACAATATCTAATCACGCCTCTCCACAGAACTATCAGGCACACATTCAAGATTGTACCTTCATAAAATTGATGTTTCAATTTTATTAAAATTTGAGAAACTGTTAACCAGTGCATGTACAAAGTAAGTATCCTTCAAAAATCTGCAGAAAAATTATTAGCAATAGAAAACCCAAACTTGATGCTCTGTGGTTGGGGGGCATTCAAAAATTTCCCAGAACTAAAGGTCTGTTAAAGAGAGCGGAAATTTTTCTCAGACCACTTTCCAAACAACATACTTAATATCCAGAAAAGAGTTATCACCAGCTTGTTGGCCTGCAGAGGAATAGGTAGAAGGCCTCACTGGATGATAATTTGTGCTGGAAAACTTATGTCAGTCGTCCATAAGTTGATTGCATCCCAAATAATTAGAGAAATGTTAAACCTAGAATAAAGTTGATCAATTTCAAACTCCATACCTCTGACAAGTTCAGGCACAGAGCTATAATCGCATTATAAAGATATCCATAACGGATACAATGTAATCACAACACCTGCAAAACTATAATGATTTTGCATAATGGATGTTCAAACCATCTGTTAGAGGGGATCAGTTTAAATATGTGGGGGTAATTTGTATTTACTCTTCTGCAGATGCATTAAGCATGGATCTCATGATGTGCAGCAGTTTGACAAACTTATAAGATAAGAGATATGAAGGGCTTGTGCAGCAAGAATATGAAGTTCTTATGCATCAACACATTTGGCCATAAAAAATTGCACTTGTATGAAGTAAAAAACAAAAATAGAAAAAGAAAATCCGCATTAAATAAATTTTTAGAACACAAAATGAGCAATTCAACACTAAAATGATCGGATGCATGTGCCAAAAAGGTGGAACTATTTTTGTTGATAAAATATGAAATCATTTAAATAAGTGAGTGTAAAGAGCAAAAGCCTCTACCTGAAAATGAACAATTGTGGATTTGACAAGCCTTGTGTTGAACTGGAAGTCATAAAAAGTCTTTCCCTTCTCAACTTCCAAGCATTCCTGTCAATGAAATATACTAATCAGCAACAATCAATATAAATTTCTCTACAAGTTTTTGCTCGAGAAATTAAAATAAAAGATTCGTCTTTCCTTCAAAACTAATCAACTAATAATTTCACTGCAAAACAAGAAATTAAAATTACAGTCCTTGTTTTGATTAAGAATTCAAGTAAGCAAACCTTGTCAAGCTCAAACCGAGGGCGAGAGAGGTTCTCGTAATTCTTATATTGCTTTAAACGCGTCTCACGATACTTATCTCTAGTGAAATTAAGCCTCTCCCAGGGTATTCCCTGTATATCCTTGCCATTTCTTGCCTCTAAAGCAGAAGTGTCAGTCTTCGGCTTACTCTGCAACACCTTACCACCATCACTCACCATAATCTCTTCCATGTCCAAAAAAGTAAACAAAAGAATCACTAGTAACGTACCGATTCGAATTCATCTTCAAAATCAGAGTCCACATCATCATCCAAATCGTTGTTTCTTTGAGGTTCGTCTTCGCTGAAAAAATCGTCTTCAAAGGGATCATTAACTACGTACTCCAGATCGTTGTTGTGGAAGTGATCCATTATCCTACAATTACCAAAAACCGTACTTCAATCAATCACCAAATAAATAAATAAATAGAAATATAAAAAAAGAACGAGTAGATTAAGGGCCTAGTTAAGCTTAGTAATTCACCAGAACCTTTTAAGAAATATAAAGGTCGGACTCCAGCAACTGTGCAATTTGCTAAATAACTGATTATATGATGTATGCATCAAGCGTGATTAACTAAACAAGGAGTTAAAACAAAACAAAATATCATACATATATAACAGGAAAAAAAAACAGAGAAAAAGAGACAAAAAATTAAAAGGTGCCTAACAAACCTAACGCGAATGAACTCGGTGACCAACAGAGTATTAAATTACGGTAAATGAAGGAGATTTTCATCGTTTCGTTAATCAAACACGCAAAAACAAGTAGCCAAGTATTCAAAATGAAAAATTACCTCCGAATTTTGTTAGATCTTAAAGAGAGAAAAAGTTTGGAGGGAAGAATCAAACGGAATGGAGAAACGCAAATGAAAGGAATTCTCTTAACTGTTTCTCGAGAAACGAAACAGAAAACTAACAACAATAACAGATTTCAGATCTGGAGACAGGAATCTTGAGAATAAGAAGGCGTTAGATTTGGGATTCCAAAAGAGAGATGCGAGTACTTTTAGAAAAACAAAAAACGGTTTCTGTTGAAAGAAATGAGTGTCTAGAACGAGAGTTGCCAAAACCAGCAAGAGAAGACGAACCCTCACTTGCTACTTATAATGGTGATTTCAGTGATAGAGGATGGTGAATTGGGACCCACCTATGAACCACAACGATTTTAAAAAATAAAAATGAAGGAATCGTTGGCCTACGGTAGGGCTCGTTTGAGGGCTGCACTTAATATCTCCGTTTTAATTAACTTTTAAGTTTATTTTAATTTCTCCTACCCTATTTTTTTCTCCGAAGCTGGTAATTAGGGAAAAAGAGATTCGTACGGGTTCAAAAATTAACTGTTAGAAAACGCAACTGATTTTCTCATCTGTGCATCCTTTTCGGTTTTTTCCGTTTTTCCCATTTAACTTTTTGCGTACGTAATGCGAATCTTCTAGTGTTGTATGGTATAATGTTCTATTATTATTATTGATGTTGCTTTAGTAGAAATGATTGATTTAATCTGACTATAAAAACTGATTCGAAAATAATTATGACTAATTATTTATAAATAATAAAAATTAAATCTTAATTTTAGTTCAACCAAAATAATTATTTGCTAATAAAATACATCTCTTAGGTTGTATTTAGGTTGTATTTGTATCGAAAAAACTAAATTTCAAAAACATGTTTTATCTTATGTTTTGACATTTATTTCGGATTTAAGAAAAACGTCAACGGAATTTGATTTCCAATCAGCAAAATCTAATAGACTATTTTTAAAAAGTGTTTTCCGAATTAAAAAAGAAAAAAACATTTTCTCTTTCTCTCACGAGTTGTCTCGCTCTCGTGTTACTCACCTCTCTCTTAATATATTTTAATAATTTTTTCTCTATCTCATTTTTATTTAAAATATATGAAATTAATTTTCAATTATTTCTTATCTATTTATTATTATTAATTATTTAATTATTTTTTCTCTATTTCTAATAACATTTGATTTTTTGAATTATAAATAAATTAAATATTCTTAAAAACCATTTTTACATAAAATTATTTTTATAATACATATTTCAATAATTTATCTCTATTTTTTTACCATTATCCCAAACACCATCTAAATTATACTTAAATGATTAGAAATGATCGTTACAAGACTACAATCATTTGTGAAAAATTTAAAACTAATTAATTTATTAATAAATATATTATTTTTTAATACTATTCATAAATTAATAATATTATGACTGATTTTAATCGGTTGTAAGATTTTGTTGGCGATTATAGGCAATAATTAGTTATAAATTATTTCAACATTAATTTTTTGAAACCAAGTGAATAATTATCTATAAATGATAACTAATAATTTATAAAACTATTTTTTAAACTAAATTATCAATTCAATTCCAAAAAAAAAAAAAAAAAAGAATTCTTAATTGAGCTACCGAAATGTCAATACTAAGATTACTTATAAATTTTTTTACTAAATTGATTTTGTCCCAAGTAATTTATTTCTATTTTTTTTTTTTTTACCATTATCTCAAACAACTCCTAAATTATACTTAAATGGTTAGAAAATATTGTTACAAGGCTATAATCATTTGTGAAAAATTTAAAACTAATTAATTCATTAATAAATATATTATTTTTCCAACACTATTCAAAAATCAATAATTTATGATCGATTTTAATCGGTTGTAAAATTTTGTTGATAATTGTAATCAATAATTAGTTACTAATTATTCCAACATTAATCTTTTGAAACCAATTAAATAATTATCCATAAATGATAACTAATAAATTTTAAAAGTATTTTTTAGACTAAATTATCAGTTCAATTTTCAAAAAAAAAAATCTTAATTGAGTTACCAAAATAATAATGTTGGGATTACTTAGAAATGTTTTTTACTAAATATGAATATTAACTTGATTTTGTCCCAAGTAATTTTGATGAATTAGTTTGATGGTTAAAAATGTATTTTTTTTCTATTTTTTGAACTTAAATCTTAAGATCGGTATTTATAAAAATTTATTAATTTTTTTTAAATGCACCTTATATTATGAGATTATGAATATGCCTTGTTGAAGTTCTCTCAAAGCTCGTTGATGTGACAATTACGAGTCTATTTTTGTATTTTAGTTTTTTTGTCTAAAAAAACGATGGAATGTATTTTTCGAGTGATTTTTTTTATGTAATTGCCAATGGTCGGGAAAATATTTTTTAAAAAAAAAACTTCTCGAAAAATAGCTTTTCCATAATTGTTTTTCCCATTGAAAGTTGTTTTTCGCCAAACAAATGGAGCCTTGGTTATCTTTAGTACAATGTATACAATAAATTTAGAAGAAAAAAAATATTATTTCTAAAATAAGGGATAAAATCTTAGACAAGATTTCACATTTATTAGCAAAATCATGTCCTTTCATCTATCATGATAAAGTTGAGCGAGAACCCGGTTATTGTATCGAAATTAGGCAATATTTTCTAACAATCAAAACGAGAGAAAAAAAAAAAAAGCACGGTGTGCTTCTAATTATTTGTGAAGTACTTCTCATTTTTCTTGTTTTTTTTTCTTTTTTCCCTAAGAATGTCTGTCATTTTCCTTTTTTTTTTTTTCTTAAAGATGTTTCATTTAGTCGTTAAAAGGATTTTTTATTGTTATAATTTTTTTCAAGCATGATGAAAGTTGAAACTACATCCCTTTATAGTTTTACCATGCATGTTGCGATTTCCTTCAATAGTATAGTTGAATGTATGAATACTATGATTCAAATTAGGATGGGTCGGAAAGCAAAGAAAGTAACATGGTTAATTTATCTAGTCAAATTTGAGAAGAGGATAATAAGTTAATTGTTATCTTTATATATAGGTAACGTAACTATGAAAATTTCTCCGAACGAGAAACAAAATGATTCCTTTTTATTTGATATTCAACCTAACCCAAACTACATTTCATTCTTTTTAATAGGATATCTATCTTATGAGTTTTTTGTTATTTATTTTGATTATCGAGGATTTATGCAATGAAAAGTAAAATGATGGTTGTACATTGTTTTGCAAAGTAATACAACTCCTATATCTAATGCCTATGGATTAATTACATTGCTTTGCATATTATAATACCAACTTTAAAGATATTTTGTTGTTTTCTTTGATTTAAGCTAAATTTAAATGGATTGCAATTAGTTTGTAAACTTCGATTGAAGTTTATAATTAGGAATGGAAATAGGGCGGGGGTAGGGGCGGGGATGCCACGAAAAGCTCGCCTCGTTCCCGCTCCGTGTCCTGCGTGGGGTAATATTTCCCTTACCACCCCTTCTCCAACAAGGACGGGAATACTGCGGCCCACCGATGCTTCGCTGAATTCTTTGCGCCCGCCTTGCATCATTTTACTTTATATCATCTTATACCAAATTTAAAGCTGTAACATAAAGATAATAGTCTATGTAAAAAATATAATTAAGAAAGACAATCATTTAGCTTTATATTCAACTACCAATTTTCAACATAACTCATAATCTATTAAATTATTTTCAATCGTATAAATAACAAACTTAATTAAGTTGATGAAATATTACAACTCGTCGATATCATAAATGTAATTAAAAAAAATAAATCCTTACACGTCTTTACTTGCTTAAAGATCATCAAAGCTCACTCATTATATTAGAGGTTAGTTTGTAGTCATAAAGATTATATATATATTGAGTATAAATATAATTTTCAAAGGGAAGGACGGGACGAGGCTGCCTTGGCTTATTCCCTAATCAACTCGAGAAATCTCCGCATTCACCGAGATAGGGCGGAGTCTGGTCCCACCGAGGCGGGGCAAATTGTCATCCATGTTTATAATATGTTCATACAAATTCGGTTGCAAGTAGCAAAATTACAAAGCTAATTAGTCATAGTAGCATTAATTATAAACTTGCAATTCAAATTATCTAAGCCTATTTGTTGTTAAAGATATGCATTTTATAATAATTCATCCTAAAAATAAAGTTAAATTAGTAAATTATATATTTTTAGGAGTAAGAAAAATAGTTATAAGTTAATTAGAGATAAATTATATATTTAATATAATTTGAATTTGAATTTTTGTTATTAAAAAATCGGGACCCAACCTATAAAAGAGAAAATAAAAAAATTGAAAAAAATATCGTGAAAGCTTTGTTAGAAAGGGGACAATCCCCGTTCTCCCTTGTTTCCTCACTTCTTCTTCTTAGTTCTCACTCCAAAAATTCTCTCTACTTCCTCCATCTCTCTCCTCTAATTTTTATGCTAAAATCTTGCACAAATACTCTAGAAAACCATGAAACAAGATGATTAAATTAAGACTTAGATAGATTAAAGTTAGAGAAGTTTGAAGGAATTGAAGTATTAAAGTTGGAGTTTGAAGACTCATTTGTAAAAAGCGAGATTTTTGTCATTTGATCTTAAAATTAAGAGGTTTATATGAGTTTATTGATTTTTTTTTAGTTAATTTATATTGAGTTTGTTGTTTGAGTAAAGATTGAGTTAGATTAGTGTTAAGATTTGAATTAAATCGGGAGGTTTGATAATTAGATAATTAAACACTTATTTACTCTAATTGATGCTTGATGTGAGATAATGGAGTGCAAATCCTTGGACTATAGGTTGTAAAGGCAACTTGTGTGAAAATTGAATTTAAAAATGACGATGGATTGTAGAGGCATAAAAACAAGTTTTGTAAAAATTGAATTAGAAAATGATGATGGATTATAGAGACAAATTATGTAAAAAATGAATTAAAAATTAACGATGGATAATTAGTTGTAACAAAGTGTAAATTAGATTTGTAGGGAAAAAAATTATAGAATAAACTTCGGATATGGTTGTTATGTAATTATCTATAGTTGGTTAAGAGAGAAAGGTCTAGCTAAAAATTCTCAATTTAAGTATTTTCGATAAATTTTATTATTGTGATTTGTCTTGTATTCGATTTATAAAATAATTTATTTGCTTCGAAGTACCATGTGACATGTGATATTAATGATCATTCGGTTATTTTGTATCATTAAATTTTATGAAGCGAGAGACTTTATTTCATAAATCTTAACTTCGTTTGATCGTTTGATTGTACTATGAGTGAATAATATATAGCATATCACATTTTTAAGTTCTTTGATATCTCTGTTAAGCATCGTTAATTTAATTATGTCATAATTACATATGTTAGAACTTAGATGGAAATTGACTATTTGTGAAAGTTTGAAATGATTTGACATCGAAAATAATTTGATATGATTTTGAGAAAGATTTGATTATACATTTTTAATAAGTGCATCACTTAAGGTTTGGGTTAATTCTATGGATTTAATTACTAGTTTGATTCTTAATTAATGAAAAAAAGTACACAAAAAAAAAACCAAAGGAAAAAAATGCATATGTAGTGCATCAATCAAGGAATTAAATTTTTAGGAGCTAAAATGAAATAAATTAAAAATTAAAAAAATATTTATTATAGGGATAAAAATCAAATATAATAAAATTTTAATCACCGAAAGAAAAAAAAGTTATAAAACAAGGACTAATGCGAAAGTTAAGTTTAGTAAAAGTAAAAAGGAGCTTTGGGGGAAGAGAGAGAAAAAAAGAATAGTAATTGATGAAATTCAAATATAATAAATTTTAATGACAAAAAAAAAAATAAAGTTATAAAACAGAACTAAAACGAAAGTGAAATTTATTAAAATAAAAAAGGAGCTGTGGGCTGTGGTGGAAGAAGTGAAAAAAAAAAAAAAGAGGAGCAGTTAATGAACAGTACTTCTGCTACTGTATTTTATGATTTTTTTTAGTTTATTTGGTAATGATTCATATGTGATATAAAATATCTTATTTGGATAAATAAATTTAAAATTATCATATCATGATAAATAAAATTTACAAAAAAAAATTATTATGAAAGGAAACTCTTAGACGGTGCCTCAGTAATTGCTGACCAGTTTTTCAAATATTCGCCTCTTCTCTCTCCTGGAAGCAAGAAATAAATCTTAAAAATTAGAAGGGCTCAGCTGCTCCTTAGTCCACTATCTACGACATGGAGAAACCACGTGTTTGGGTCACATCACGAGTTGGAAAATCAAGGCAGCACCTTGTTCCGCCACGTTGCTTGGGGCAGTGACGGGTCCTCCCCTGCTTCCCCAGTTTTGCCGTCAATATGACTTAAATGCCGTCGTCTTATTGGTTCAAATTAGCCGTTAAATTAACTAAAGTTAGTTGAATTTAGTACTGGTTGATGGAATGGTTGGCAAGAGGTTGTCGACTTGTCGTCTTTCTCCTTCTTCTATCTTCTAGGCCTTTTTAGGATCCATTGTTTTCTGTCGGTATTTACTATTAAGGTGCCTATCTAAAAGGCCTCGAATGGGGATTTGGCTCGTGTAGGTTGTCTGCTTTGATGTTAGAGTGCGGTCCTTTTCATAGTTTGTGCTCTTTCAGAAAAAGTGCTTTGGGGACGAACTGCTAACCAAAGGTCTATATGCTTTTGTTTTGGATGGAATATAATTTCCGTCTTGATGATGCTCTCTCTCTCCTCCCCCACTGTTATTTTTTCTCCACTTACACTTAACAAAATAAAATAAAATATGGAATATTTATTGTAAGCTAAAACTTGCAATATTATTTAATTTAGTTCAAACAAAAATAATTAATAACAAATATATTTTAAAAAATATTTGCTTACAAATTTTGATTTAATTTTTTCTCCCCACACTTTTTTCGTGTAATATGTAAATAAAAAATCAAAGGCATATATCTTTACATAATTAGATATTAAAATATTATATACTTATGACAATTGAGAAATTTTATGATACTCAATAAATAACTAATAATTATTATTTTATAAAAAAAATAAAAAGATTTTAAATGAAAATATTCTTATCGTTTTTATGAGTTTATATGTGATTTTCTTTTATATGTTTGTCTCTCTCTTTAAAAGACCGATAAAGTTAATATTGATTATTATTCTTGAGTATTTTAAAATCTATATATAGCAGTCAATTATTGGTTTAGTTGGAAAAAATATCACATTAGCAATCCACATGATAAGTTAGTACATCTTATTTGTCCACAAGGTACAACATGAAAACTTCCCTAATCAATTCTTATGCTTTAAATATATATAATAGATTATGCATGAGGCATGACATTCTTTAGAGTAAACTAGTTTGTTGCCTGCTATGTGTCATAGGTCGGATATAATCAAAAAATTTTAATTTGATACTCCACGTTATGTTGTGGATTTTTTAAAACATATTAAATAAAAGTATAAAAAATCAACTTTAATAATTTTTTAATCAAAATTTTATATTTAGTTGATTATTCCTTGTGTTTTTCATAATTTTTCAATGAAAAACATGATTTGTTATTTTATATGTATTGATTCTTAAATAAAAAAAAATTAAATTAATCTAAATAAAAAATTAAATCCATAATTTTGAAAAGAACCTAATATTTTTTCCATGAGGTTGTATATAAAAAAAGCTACAATTCATATAAAAACATGTTTAAAAAATAAGAAATAAAAAGTTATTTTTTCTTCTTATTTAATGTTGATGAAAAGATTATATATATATATATATATATATATATATATATATATATATATATATATATATATATATATATATATATATATATATAATAAAACATCAAAAAGCGTAGTTGAACAATTGGATCGTCATTTAAAAAAATTATTTTATTTGAAAGAAATTAATTTTAAAATATCTAAAAGAAAAAAAAACATTTTCTAACACATATATACGTTGGATGTTCTATTCAAAACAGCCAACAAATAAATTATATTAACGTATTTAAAAATATTGAATTCTTAAATTTTATTAAAAAATCATATTTTCTTAACAAATAAAATTATATAAAAAAATAAAATAAAAAATTATTTGAATTTTTAATAAAAAATGGCAGTTCGAAAAAATCAGTTTAAATCTTGAAAATAAAAAAAAATCAGAAATTACAAATAATTTAAATCATATTTCTTCATCATCGTATTGTATTAAAAAAATTATTTTTGATTTTTTTATTTATAAATTTTACACAAAATCAACGATAAAAAAGTGAAAAAAAAAACAAAAACAAAAACAAAATCCAGGCGTGCGTCTCTATGCATGCAGACCCAAGTCATAGGCCTACAGATGCAGGCTTATACCCATGGGTCTGTAGAAGAAGGCCCGGTAGGCCTGGCCTGGCATATATAAAAGAAAAGAAAAAAAAAAAAAAGACGGCGCATGGTCTGCTGCTACAAAAGAGATGCATAACAGTAAAAACCCTAAATCTTTTTGTTTCAAAAACTTGTTATAAAATTTTTAACCACCCATGATGAAATTTAATTTAATATTATTTTATTTTAAAAAATATTTTTTTATTAATCTTTTACTAATATCTATTAATACGCTAAATCATATCAGAAACAAAATGCCATATAAGATTGTTACTGTTTAATTAGTTTTTGGTCTTATTAGTGCTGGAGACAGGCCGATGGTTGGTGCTTTTTTGGGCGAGATTTATACGGAAGAGTGAAGACACTCCCAAATTTCCAATGTCAAGACCAAAGAATCTTGCCAAGAAACGGAGACAAAAACAAAAACATCTCCTTCTACTATTTGTTTGAAGTGCAGGTCTGGTGAAAGTCACCCCTGGCATATTTTTTTTATCATTAATAAAAAAATTGAAAAAGAATAAAAAAATCATATTATTCCAATAACAGAAATACTCGTTCGTTTTTAATCTTTTTTAGGCCCGTTTCTTAATATCTTTATTTGTCTGGTCATTTTTTCAAAGACCAGATGGCAGTTTAGTCTCCTGAACTGTAACCCGAATTTGGAAAATCCCTTGAACGAAAGTATTCCTTAGCTATTCCTCTATTTTTAAATTTTAACCCCACGTTTTGATTCTATTGCAATGTAATCTCCGTTAATTAAGGTCATCATTCCATCAATTTTGATCAAGATTGACTGTTTTGTATGTGTTTTTTCTTTTACGTAAGACTGGAGGAACTATTCAGTATTCTGCGTATTTCTTCTTCTCATAAACCAATGAGATTCATAAATTATTTTTACAGTAGATTTCATGGTTTTCTTAGAGAGCAAAGTACAGTTCTTAATAACTTGATAATTTATCCGTAAGATGGATTGTGACGTGCCCAGCAAAAGATCAGAAAAAAAATCAGAAAAGAAACATAAATTAAGGAAATGGTTAATCGCTAAATTTATTCTTATATAATAAAATAATTTTTTAATATATCTTTATATTTTTAAATAAGTTAATTTTATTCTTGAATATACACCAAGTTTCTAATTTATGTTTTAGCAAAATTTTCAAATAAAATCACCAGAAATAATAATGTAATTTACACGTAAAAGTCACCTATTTGTCTAGTTTATAAGGATATTTTGACAATAAAAAATATTTTTATGTCAAATTATGTGATTAATTTCAATACTTTGATTTGAAAATCTTATCAAATAGATAAATTAGAAATCTAAAATATATTTATTAATAAAATTGATTCAATTAGGAATATTATAACAAATTAGAAAATTACTCTACATATATACATATATAAAGACAAATTGAGTTATTGAATTAAAAAAAAAAGAAGAACAGCGAGAGAGAGAATCCTCCACCCGCTGCCAACGCGCGTAATTAGTGCAAAATATTCAAAATCACAAACCTCACACACAACATCAAAATCGTAAATTTTTATAGGATTTGGAACTCAAATCTTCAAAACAACGACCTTTACAAGCGGATTTAGTATCATTTGAAGAAAATTAATAAATGATGATATATTATGAGACCGCTAGCTAAATGATTGAAAATCACTATGAATTTTCTGTTAAACTAATATAGATTTATACTCATTACAAAATTTGATTTGACTATCATAAGTTATTATTTATAAATAATAAGCATCGACTGGAAGTGATATCATGTGATCTACTAAAAGCATAACACGTAGCCAACTAATCTCACTATTTTGACACCCGTGTTTACTCTTTCTGTCCATCAAAAAGAATAAAAAAATTTCAACAAAACCAATAATTTATTTATTAGCCTTGTTTATTTCGTTCGCCTAAGCTCCCTGTATGTTCTTGGCATTGACCTTTGTATCTACCTACCCCTTTTGTTCTATCGTATCTCTTAAGAAGCCGCTCGTGTCATTTCCTTTAAGGAAGTAAATGGTATCATCCTTTCCTGTCGTCGAGTAAATGAAATGGTATGGTCGCAATTCCTTTCTAACGATTATGTTAGTTGATCTCTCTTAAGTCCTTATTTATCTTTTATTTATGTATGGGAGAGTGAAGTGCCTCAAACGCTATGCGGCACGAACGATCTTAAAGTTCCTCCTGGGAAAGCAGTACGAGAAGTATTGTATAGGACCACTGTTGCCTGATCCGGAACAAAGCCATTAAATTCTAGTTTGTCATCAAATTAATAATTTCAACTTTACTAAAAATGATAATTGTAAGATTACATAGATTCTTTTAATTTGTCACGACAACTAAAATCCCCTCCCACCAAAAAAAAAATTGTGTTACGATTGCTTCGACTACAAATTCGACTGCAATTTGGGTTTCATTCAACCATACGTGATTATAGGTTGTGTTGAGGTTTGTGGGGGATGGTGTTGTGGAGGCTGAGGGCGGTGAAGGGTTCAAATAGAGGTGGTGTTGCTGCATTTTGCAATCTGATTGGGTTATTCTTTTTGCAATCTACAATACGAAGAAGTCATGGGTGTTGATGGAGGGGTAGTTTAAGCAGTTTTCATGCGGTGGCAGTGTTAAATACAGTGAATGGAATTTTTTTCTTTTCGAATTACCCTTTAAAATTTAAATGTCATAATATTTTTGTGACATTGAATGACTTTTATTTTTTAATGGTTATGGAGCTTGCCAGGGTTATTCCATGAGATTGGATCTATTTAAGGATGGTGATGATAAATGTCTTGGTTGTGAGAGTAGCAAAAGTACGTAACCATTAAATACAACATTTAATTTTGAACGGAACTTGACTAAGATATATATACTTTGAAAGAGATCAGCCAGCAAAAATTGATTTTTCTCCTAATTTAGATAAGAATTTGAGATTTGCAATTAAAAAAATGGAGTTTCATGTTTTTTTTTTTAATCAAGAGTTTCATGTTATTTATTAGCAAATTAAGTTTCTTTAGTAACAATAGATGCACAACTACAAGAGGTGGTTAAGTAAGAAAATCAAACTACAAAAATTTAGGTGAACTCAAAAAACGAACGAGGACGTTGATTTGGTCAAATTAATAAATCACATATCATGTTTTTAGAAGGTGGATGAATCAAATAATTACATCGTAGAAATTTAAGTGAACTCAAAGAGCAAACAAGATTGTTGAGTTAGTCAAATTAGTAGGTCACATGTCATGTTTTTAGAAAGTGGATGAATTAGAGAATAAGAATGTAGAAATTTAAGTGAGCTTGAAGAGCAAATAAGACTATTGAATTGGTCAAATTAGTAGGTCACATGTTATATTTTTAATAGATTGTTAAACAAGAGAATCAGACAATAGAAATTTTGGTGAACTCGATGAGCAGATGAAGATGTCGTGTTGGTCAAATTATTAGGCTACATGTTATGTTTTCAACTTAATATCATAATCGAGTTAACATTACACAAATAATCAAAAGGATTTATTAACAAAAAAACTAAAGTAAATCGATCGTTTATTATTCACTAATACTATTTGAAATAGTATTCACTAAGACTCGTGTGTATAATTCATTTTCCTACATAGTGGTATTTTTATAATTTTTAAACTTTTTAATGATATTTATTATGAAAATTTTTATAGCATTACACTTTGGTCCCTCTTTTTGAAACACTATTTTTTTGGCCCGCATATTTTTTATTTCATTTTGGTCTCTCCTTTTCTTTTCGATCACCTTAGTCCTTGCTTTTTTTTTCTTTTGATTTTTTATTTAAAAATTTTAAGGCAAAAAAATATTTAGAAAAAAATGTATAAAATTAGTTTTTAATTAATAATCTATTGATTTTGACATTTTTTTCTTACATTATTATAAATTTTTTCGTTAAGAATGTGGATAGAGATAAATAAATAATATTTTTTAATAAAAAATTTATAAAAAATATAAAGAATAACCAATCATGTACAAATTTTTTATTAAAAAAATTAGAAAATTAAATGATTTTTTATTCAGTTTTGATTTGATATATTTTGATAGACGTACAATATAATATCGGATATGAAACTGAAATAATTTTTAAAAATAATTTTATGTGTTCTGTCCTATTCGCAAAATAAAATGGACAAAAAATTAGTTATTTACTAAAAATAATTGATGATACTTAAATAAAATTTTAAAAATTTATAAATCTATATTATTATGATAGAAAATTCATGGTTTTATTTTTTATTTTTACCATCCAGCCTTATGTGCTCGCTGGTTTTGGATCAAACATGCAACATTATCAATTCCTTCTACTCAGTGTCTTATCCCGTCGGATGCACCAAAGACAAGACCTTTCTTTGCCACCCATTTTGGTAAGTACCAAAAAACATTTAGGAAAAGCTTCCCCCGGGATTTGAGGCAGACCCAAAGAGAATGTATTCCCAACTAATCGGAAAAACTCATTTCATATTTGTATATCTCGAGGAATTACAGAAGGCTTCCAAACAGGTATATGCTACAAATTCGTCCCTTCGATGCTCAGTTGTTTTTCCTTGTTTACAAAAATACACCTCGTTTTCAGGCACTTGCTCGCAGATCCGGTTATAGTGTAACTGTGCAAGTGCAAATGCGCAGTTCTGCTTCAACGGGGGACTAACACCACGCACCGTGTCTCATCTTTCAACTCCTGATTATTGTTATTTTGAAAAAAGGATAAAAATCTTTCGTGAATTGTTTTAGTAATGGATAATGTCAAATATTAAAAAAGTATATATATGATAATTTTTTTTTCAAAAGTACACACGAGCTATTAGATTAATGTGACCTGTATAATTGGATTTCATTTTTAAAATCATGATCCAATAACCCATGTTTCTTCTTAAAGTTTTTTTTCTTAATATTTAATATTATTTTTTAATTATAAGTGCCCCACTCATTAACAAAGCAATAAGAATAACTATTCAATACACCATAAACTATACCCTCTTCCTCCATATAATGATGGAATTTGTGAATAATTTTTGTAATGAATCCTATATATTTATAAAAGAATAAAATACTATATCTAATATATTCTGAATTAAGATCGTTTGGAAGCATACAAAAGAGTACCCAACGTCCGAACTTACCCAGCCAAGTGGGTTAGGAAAATGATAATCCAGATAAGGATCAAATTAACCGTGGCATTGTCAAGTGCGGGTTCCCTGTTATTTAATGACATATAGATACCGAGTGCAATAATAGGCACTAATGTTGCATCGTATTTTGATTTAAGAGCTCTCTAGATCCCGACTAAGTGACAAAGAAGGACGGGGTCATGATGCCGGAATTATAACATCACCATGGAAAAAAATTACCTCGATATGCTGTGCTTTTTTACAACACAATTATTATTTGGGTTAATCTGTTGATTGCCATACCAACATATTTAGTGTTGTGATAGTAACTTATCTATATACAACTATTGTGAACCTAATGATAGATTCTGTAATGATACTGTAACATTGTATGATTAGTCCTTATCGGTCATTACAGCTGGCAAATTTTATTATTCATGTTGTTTTTATTTATTATTATTTTAGGCACAATGTTCCATTTTTACAAATTATCAGAGTACTGAATTATACTGTTTTTAATGTGCAGTTAATTAAAAAAATAACTTACAGGAATGAATAGAAAGCACCAATCGGCTCAGGCCATTCCCTATTTATATATTTTCCATCCGAATACCAATCCTTTGACAGGGAGAATAAAAGACGAGCACAAGAGCATCTAAATCTCTTTCTTGCTTTGGGATCTTCTCTTCGTAATTTAGGTCTATCAAATAAAATGATAGCAAACTCATTATTTTCACAGGCTGTTTTCCTTTTTTTTTTTTCTTTTTTTTTCCTTCTCGTACAGAAGAGATTCCAACCAGGATGGACTACGGCCAGCAAACATTCCTCTATCATAGATATCAGAATATCAGAATCTTGAAACACTTTTCACGTGATTTCTCTCGTGTGATAAATTTACTTCATAGAATATAGAAAAGGCAAGATTCTCTCCACCAATTACTCTATCTTTTTATTAATTTATATTTATATATCTCTCAAGATTAAATGTAATAACTATCAATTCTAAAAAAATTGAGAAAAATATAAATAAAATATGCTAATATGACATTACAATGAATAAACTTATCATAAAAAAATCAAAATGAGTAATCTTTTTGAAAGAAGAGAGTTTTATTTAATGACACAATCATTTTGTTTAATAACTTATGCGATCTGTAATTTACAATTAATTTTGGAAAGATTAACAATCACTATAACTAAAATTATGAAAGAAACAAAATAGAAATTTCGTACAACTTTAGGCAATATTAAACAGCTAGCTAGCATAAACGTAATATTAATTGTATAAAGAGGAGGTTCATAAACTTCTAATTCAAATATATGAAGATTTTTCATTCCAATACTGGTCTATCAATTACTATAAAAATTAATTTAAGAGAGCGCAAGAGAGATTATGCGTTCGGGTTATGGTTAAAAAAAATTCCGAAGAAATAAATCCTATAGTACGGGGGCACCCTTTCCATTGTTGTGGAGGCAACATCCTCGATAATATTTTCACGTCAAATTTCATGATGACCGAGAATAGGAGTTGCGCCGGGAAATTAAGCTCATGGTCAGTTTAAAAGAAAGACAGAGAGCCAGAGTCTATGATTCTGATGTGCTTGACATGCTGCAATAATTGAGTACTTCAATTAACTTTTTGATCGGTCAATAACTTTTTTCAAGAAACGGCTATACGATAACAGGTACCACACTGATAGCCGGATACTCTGGCTGCCAAACTTTGGCACCTATTGTTTGATTTTTCATCAGGACATGATTCGGATGTGAATGTGATTTCCAGTTTGAAATGTTCTTTTTTGTTGTTAAAACAAGAACAAATCTCAATGCCACTTTCTTCATCATTCCGTCGTTAATGAACTTTGGGATGGGGCGCGTTATGCTGTGAAAGAATGCATGTGCCTTTCGAATATGAAAGAAAACATCCATAAATTTGCGAAATGCTTTTAACAGATCTTCAGGATTGAGCTTGCTCGAACGGGATACGTAATTCTTACTTACATGTTTTCCCCCTTTTTTGAGAGAAATTTTAAATGTTGATAAAAATAAAAATTCACACAGTACCCTTGTATTTATTCTTTGTCTAATTTTAAAATATTAATTACCAATTTCCGAAGCAATTTAAATACGCTACATGGTGGAGGTTATTCTCATACCTCTTTTAATCCCTCTCCTTTGGAAATATGATCTGAATTTAATTTTATATTTCCCAACAGATTCTCCAATAATTTCAAAAGCCAAGCGTGAACAGTAATTTTTCCCAATTATCTTTAGTGTCAACCTCGAGACTGTAAAATTTAGAATAAATGAAAGATGGTAAATTGTCTTCCTAATCGCTAACTTTTTGAGTGCCAGCTATAATCGCTACCTTTTTTTAAGGGATCGACAATAATCACTGCTTATTTAGTTCTCCATTCACCACGATGAAAAGGCCATTCAATTTTATGTATATAATCACTTCAAATGTTGGAGAATAAACTTAATTTAACAGGAAAACAAATTCCGCGAGAGATACATACATAGAGGACAAATTAAAGAGACCAAGTAGCTAGGCAACGTAACAATATAAAAGAAACCTCTTGTAATACCATATATATAAGAAATCTTCCTCGAAAAAAAAAGAGAGAGTAGAAGATATCAATTACAAAAGGAAGTTCATGTCCAATCATATAGTAACCATATTCAGAATCACAATGTGATTTTTTTTTTTTTTGGGCAAAACATGTTTTATGGATTTATTTTAGAAATTGATATTGACCGTTTAACTCTGAACCATTTTCATATTAAAATTCACAAAACATGTGATATTTTAACAAAAAACAATCGCACACCTCTTTTATGTCCTCTTTGATGCCGGCTATATATATATATATATTTTTTTGAATGCTACGTGCCATCCTATCCAAGACATTAGGTTTTTAAACCAAGAACTATTGGACAATATATCATTTTCTGTTGCCTATAAAGTATCTTCTAATAAGATATATTAAAAGGATAAAAATTAAAAATTTCATATCAGTTAATTAATGAAAGAAGATAATTTTATTGTGGACTCAAGGACGACAAAGACATGTGTAACAGTGAAGACTATTAGACTAAGAAATTTTTTGTTGTCGCAAATTAGGCACTTTCAAAGTTAATTTATGGTTGCCTCTCAAAAAAAAAAAAAAAAAAAAACACGATCCAATGATTTGGATTCTTCTTCGGTTAGCATTTCTTTAAAGAGCATAAATCATGAAATATGTTAACTAGTGTCAATTGATTAATCAATTGACATTCCAAAAGATGATTGACAAATTCCCCAATTAAATTGGGTAAAGTGGCCAATTTAAAATTAATGCTATAAACATTTAAACCTTCTATACGGTGTTACTTACTTACTTTGTTTCTTTCTTTTTCTAAAGAAAATATATGATTTATCTATCCAATAATTTTTAATTTTAACAACACTAATAATATTCAACAATAACTAATATGTGTCTTTGTTAAAATGATGATATTAGAAGATGTTGACAAAAGTTGGATAAGTTGATACATAAAACGAGATAAAATGTTGGATGACTTTCCAGTAGGATTGGAATTATTTATATTTTAAAAATTGAAAATGCATCATAGATTTCATTGGCTTCCCACGCTATGTTACGAGTTGAATTAAATATATTTATTTTAATAAAACATTAAATATTATATTATCAATTAATAAAAATATATTAAATTAAAAATAAATTTTTATCTAATTTTAATCAAAATTTTACATTTATTTTTTTGTCCATTTTAAATAATTTTTATAGTAAAAAAACATGATTTATTCTTTTTTTTTAATGTATTTATACTTAAATAAAAATTTGTAATAATCTAAATGTAATTTATTTTAAAAAAATTTAATATTTTTTCATAACAATATTGTATCGAAGAAATAAAGCAACATAAAAACCTATATAAAAATTAACAATTTTTTTTTTAATTCTTGTTTAATACTGGTGACAAGAATTTTTTTTTTTTTGAAAATGTACATTTGATTTATGTATATTTATTTACAAAATAATGAATAATATTAGTATAAAAAATTATATTTGAATTATCAGGCGATTCTAATAAAACATTATTTTAGTTATTTTTATTTGAAAAAAATAATTTTAAAATATAAAAAATTATAGCATTGGTTGGTGTTATGAGTGTAGATGCATAATTAATTTTTAATAAAATTAATAATGATAAAATATATATTTTTATACATCATGATCATATTCATTGAGTTAGAGTGTGCAATATAAATAGATTTTTTAAAAATAATTTTTAAAAAATATATTAAAGTAAGTAGGGTGCTATAAAAAAATAACAAAATTGATTTCGATAAAATTTTATCATATAAAGAATAAATAAATAAAACATGTGAATTCTATTATTAAAATTTGATTATATAAAAAATAAGCAAATACAAAATAACTACAAAAAAAACACTTTTTCTAAAATCCATGCATAGGAGAAAATAAAGCATATTTATTAAGAAGTAAAATTACATAAAAAAGAAGAATAAAAAATTAATTTGATTAGAATTTTATAAGAAATGACAAATTCAAGATATCAATTTTAAACAATAAGAGTAATATAATTCGATAAATACACTTATTATAAAATCAAAAAAACACATCATATATATTTTATAACCATTAGCTTGTGTGGAAAAAAATAATTGATTTTTCATAATTTTCACTCCCAATTCAATCCTTAAAAAAAACATAAATTGGTGGAAAAAACCAAAGAGAAATAAAAAAATAAAAAAATTATAATTAATTTTTCATAATTTTCACATCTAATTTAATAATAAAAAAAGACATACATTGGTGAGAAAAGACAAAAAAAAAAACTTCATAGACCAAAATAAAACATACTATAAACTTCGAATATAAATGTAAAAAACAGCTGAAAAATCACAAGAATGCCACCTTTGTCTACATTTTACGAACAATGACTTGTGAGATGATAAATAGGAAGAATCACTTTCAAAACCCTTCACCTCGTTTAATTTCTTTTAATTGATTATAGATTAGGTGATGCACTGAATCCATGGATATGCTTGACAGACTAAAATTTAATGGCAATTGAAAAAAAAATAGACGGGCGGTTCAACAATCTGGTTCTAAGCAACATAAAAAAAATGTCGTTTTCTTATCGGCAGTTGCTTATTCACATTAATTCAACGACTTTTCAAACCTAAGATATATATAAACCTGCCAGGAGTGCATATTCAAACATCAAGCAAGTTGGTTTCAACGAATAAATGGTACATGTCCCTTAAATTACCAATAAAAAATTGTTGCAAATTAAAAAAATAACAACAACCATATGTTACGACAACGTTGATTTATTTGATATAAACAAGTGTTTGGTCGCTCTAAGCTCCTTTGTCTTTTTTTCCACGTTAATCACCGACATCCATAGTATTGAGTAAAGTCGGTAATAGGAGATGTGACACTGAATTTTGTAAGTTAAGATAAGATATTTTAACAAAGAGGAAATAGGAAACAAGTAGCATATAGTGATTGGGTTAATAGGAGTAAAAAATGCATTTCGAAGAGATTAGGGATAAGATAATTTTGTAAAATCACACATTGCATCAACATATTTCACTTTCCAAACTATATTAATGAATGCTGCCATAATTGTTCTGTTCTTTCTCTTTCTTTTCTCTTTTGGAAGTTTATGGGTTATTTATCTCGGATGACAGCTTAAGCAGCAAGAAAGATATTTTCTTTCGTCCTTTGATTAAAATATAACTTAAGCTAGATATTTTACATAAACAATTAATTAAAGAGCAGTGCAACGAGCATGGCCACGGACCACGGTAGAGCATGTGTCCTATGCGGCCTTGAGCAAAAAGCGTACGGAGCGAATTTAATGAACTAGGCTTGGACCTAAAATAGGGCATAGGCATAGAAATAACAGATGAATTGTTTTTTTTTTTTTTAAGGGTTTATTGTTTCTCTTCCATCTGCTAATTCTTTGAATTTAATGGTGTGTGGGTATATATATATATATATATATATATATATATATATATATCGAAAAAAAGGATCGGTTTGATACGAAATTCAAATACATCTGATCAATTTCTTTGTGATGATGTGATCCATTCACTCATTTAATTTGCTTAATGTAAAAAGCGAAATGCTGCAGTAGTTTGATTCCAGTGTTTTTTTTTTTCAAAAACAACTAAATGTGCAATTTAAAATTGATGGAATATTTAAACAAGAATAATATTAAATATTAAAAAAAGAACGATAAGAAAACATTTTAAGAATACACATGTATCGTTAAATTAGCAGGATACATAATGGAATCTCATTTTAAGATTACAATCCAATAACCCATTTGTACTCTGAAATTTTTTTCCTTTTAATTTTTTTTTTAATATTTAATATTAATCTTTAAATAGACAAAGATTTAAACATCTTAATATTTGAATTAAAAAGGGATTGACCTCTTAATAAAGGCTCTCTGTAAATAAGTTGATCATTTCCTACGCCCTAGTTTACTTGCTATTAACAACTAAGTGTGAACTTGGGCTTGAACGATATTTTTAATCCTTCTTTCCCATTTTTCAAAATTATGGGTATTGGGGTCGCAAAAAGCACCAGAGAATATTAGGAGTCTAGGATTAGCATGGCCATGGCCTAGATATAGATATCATGCAGCTGTGAAGGTACGCTATAAATTAGCTTAATATCGAGGAATATAACTTGGGGTTATGCTCCCCAAATCGTTAAGGACTTGAGCTGTGACCGTACGCAATACATTTGCTTGCATTTGCTCAAGGCCAACTAGGCCATAAGCAAATGTTAAACCTAAGCCCGTAAGCAAATGTTTAACCTTTCAGTACCTAAGAGAAGACGGATCGAAATATGACACGTTTCTTTAAATGGGCTAAATCCATTAGGAATCAAAATGCGGAGCCCGAACCCGTTAAAGTTTATTGTACGAATAACTGTCTTACTCGCTTCGTGGATCAAAATGTGAAATATGGGCCATACGTAATATCATTTTTTTGACGAAACAAATCTTATTCTCACACTTTATTTTCAGTTTCACCTCTTCCATTAGGAATAAAAAATTATCAATTTTCCATTTCTATTTCCATTTCCATTCTTATTTTCATTTTGTTTTATTAATTCCTTTTAGCTTAACAAGTTTAAAATAGGATTAAAAGTTTCTGTCCCATTCGGCCATTCCCATTAGTTCTTTTCTGGCAATCAAACATCCCTTTGGTAGCGCACATGTAGAAGGTTATTATATCTTTAAGCAATAATAAATAAATCAATAAATAAAGATTGACACCCAATTTTTGCTTGGTTTTATAGTATAAATTACCCTCATTTTATTATAATTTGACAATTTTAAATCTTTATTATCAATTTGTATAATTTAAATTTTAAAACATCGTTTTTTTCATATATCTTATTTAAATTTATTATTTGTAACTCGTCAACGTAATTGGTTGTTAATTTTTTTCTATCATTGTTTTTTTGCTATTAATTTTATTTTGAAAAACGTTAAAAAAATTTTTTCTTTATTTTTCAAGAGAGATTTTTTCCACTTGTTTATAAATAAATAAATAAATAATCATTGAATTTATCATTAAAATTTTCTTTTGTTCTTCCTAAAAAAGAGCTTTCACTTTTTTGAATATATCTTTAAAAAAAAATTAGAAAAGTAAAAAAATAGTTTTCTAACTTTAACAATTTTAAATACATTATATATTTGAATTAATTATGAGAAAAAAATTGTATAAAACATGTGAAGATAATAAAATATATTAAATAAATACAATTATATTTAAAATTTAATGCTTGATAATTACAAGAATAAATTTATTGGCACGATAAAAGAAAAGTTTAGTTACAACTAAATATTTGATAATTTTAATTGATTAAATTCAACCAATAGATGTTTTTATTTTAGTAATTATAGAATTTGATCATTTTAATGGATAATGATATTACATAAAAATTATTTTTAATTTTTTTTAAAATTATATACAAATAACAATTTGATTGACTATGAAAAGAGATTAATTTGTGAAAATTTTAAATAGAAAGGATGTATATTGAAAGATGGAAGAAAAATATTTTTAATATATTTTTTAAAATTAACGGTGAAAAAAATATTAATGATCAACTAGATTAACCATTATAATTAACAAATTTAAATAAAATTTATTTAAAAATTAATATTTAATAATTTAAATCATATAAATTAATAGTTAACATTTAAAATTATCAGATTGCAATAGAGGGAGAATTTTTACGGTTAGACTATTTGTGTCTGTAAGAATTAAGGACAGGATAAAGGAAAAGGCACTGGTTTGGGGTGCCAGAATCGCCTAGATGTGTACGCTCCTCGTCCTCGGACCATTCACCCGTTGCATGGGCTCCTAACTCATTAAGTCCGAACCAATTATAGCCATAACGGGTAGCCCTTGAAGCCCAACTTTTGATTTGTGGCAAAATTGCCACTGACGCTGCGAATTACGATAACCTTAATTCTTGATTCTTAAAAATTTAGGGTACAGGAATATGTTATCTTTTAAAATATTTATATGGCATACCAAAATACCAGTAAATGAAAATAACAACATATAATCAATTAAATCCCATGGTATATTAATTTATTAAAAAAAATCAGAGATAGACATCGTGTTATTTATATTTGTTTTACCATTAAGTGAATTTGGATATTTAAAAATCGAATGATCTCAATAATAACTATAATGATTATGAAAGGACGATAATTTTACTTCTTCTTCCTTTAAATTTAATTACTTATACATATCTCCCTATTAATCTATAATTCGTAATAAAAATAATTTTTTTTTAATCTTGAAATAATAATAGCACGTTTTTTTTTTGTAATAAAAACTACAAAAGAAAAAATAAATTATAATATTATTTTTACTTAAAATTTTTCTCATATAAAAAAATCGTCATTATCATTACAGTATTACATTAATTAGCATCATTGAAAAAAAATCAATTAAAAAGGTATTGAAATAAAGTTCTAATTGTTTGAATGTTTAATTAAGTATGTTAACTCATAGAAATTAAAATTATGTTTGAACGGTTTTTCTTCTAAAGAATTACAATTTAATAGCATAAGTATCTTGACTAGCTAATGTGTTCCTTTTATATCATACTCGCATTCTTTGCATATTTTTATCCAAATTTATTTATTACTTTCTTTTTTCCAAATAGATTTTTCTCTTTATATATATATATATATATAATTTGTTTGGTTAAAATTTTAAATAATATACTTTCCTAAAATATATTTAATAAATAAATAAAATGAATTCTTCCTTCACTAACAAAAATTCAATATTCATTATACTTTCTCTTTATATATATAAACATTTTTAGCATAAATTTCTTTTTACATAAAAAAATATTCATTATTATATAAACTTTATTGCATGTTAAAATTGTAAAATTTTGGAAGTACAAATATTTTTATTATTATATTATTTTTCTATGATTGTTTTAAATTTTATGGTTAGTTTAACGTAATGATTTCGGAAACAAATCTCTTCTTTCCTTTTTATGTATCCATTCATAATGTTAAACAAGGAAGTTATCTGTCCATCCATCAGCATCCCTCTTCCTAACGAGACTACATAGCTTCACCCAGATCACTTATTCTTACACTCCACAATCCACAAAAAATTCCCACAATGAGACCCCAAACCTTCGATTCCTTACCTTTGTCATCTTCAATTCACTTGTCCTCCGAGTTGACTCAACTCAGCCACCATTCTCATGCGACTCTAGTTTCAGTGGTACTATTAAGAGTGCCACTAGTTTCCCCCAAGTTATTCTAACTGCTGCTTCTTTTGATGCCAACCAATGGTATCGCATTGGTCAGGTAAGACCTTAACAAAACCTTAATATTTCTTAATTACTACTTGCAAAAAAATATTAATATATTAAGTAAAATACTAAAAAGAAATGAACAATAAATTATTTATTTACCTTAAGTCATTATTTATTTACCGTTTACGAGAAGCAGTTTTCATAATTTTTGATAATAGTGTTTTTGTGATTTTTTAAAAGTTTTTGGGATTTATTTGTAAATTTCACACTTTATTCTTTTTCTGTGTCTTATTTTTTCAAAATGTATTTTTGAATCCTCATCTTTTTAAAAAATATTTTGACACCTCATGTTTTTAATTTAGTCCATTTTGGTCTCTATTTATTTATAATAAATTATTTATTTACCTTAAGTCACTATTTATTTACCGTTTACGAGGAGCAGTTTTTGTAATTTTTGATAATAGTGTTTTTTTGATTTTTTAAAAGTTTTTGGGATTTATTTATAAATTTCACACTTTATTCTTTTTCGGTGTCTTATTTTTTCAAAATGTATTTTTGAATCCTCATCTTTTTTTAAAATATTTTGACATCTCATGTTTTTAATTTAGTCCATTTTGATCTCTCGTATTTTTAAAATATACTTTTGGTTTCTTATATTTTTAAAAGATGTTTTTGGCTTCTCATGTTTTTAAATTTTAAAACAAATATATATATCGGATTATGTTTTTTTTTGTTGTTTAAAATTAATCTCTTAAATTTGTTATTTATTATTAAAATTCTCATTAGATTAATTTCGTATTTTTTATGTACTTTTATTTGTTAATAAATATGATTTTTTTTTATGTATGAATTTTGAACATATATATTTTTTTAAAATAAATAATAGAATTCACGTGTTTTTTGGGCTTATTCTTGATATAATTATGTTTTTGAAATAAAATTTTTAGTTATTTTTATTATACTCTATTAACTTTAATATATTCTTTACAACTTAAATTTTTTAAAACATAGTTTTAAATTTATACCGACACTCTAGTCCACTGAGTATGGTTATAATGTATGCAAAATAGTATTAAGATCATTGATTTTATTGAAAATTAACTATACCTTTATAGAGATAACACTACTATTTCCTATCAATTATTTTTAATATTCTAAAATTAATTTATTTTAAATAAAATAATTAAAATAAAATTTTAAAATAAATAATTAATAATCCAATATACATCTTTATATATATAATTTACATATTTCAAAAACTTAAAAATATTCGTTAGTTAATTTTTATGCAAGTTTTTATAGTGATATTGTTTTATTTCTTCAATACAATCTTATGAAAAAATATTAAAATATTTTTAAAAATTTTATATTTATATTATTGTAGGTTTTTAGTTATATTTAAGAATGAATTCATAACTAAAAAAAAATTATGTTTTTTAATAATAAAATCTATGAAAAACATAAAAAACAATGAAAGAAATACAAAAATTGATTAAAAATTATGAAATTAAATTAAAATTTATATTTTATTTTTAAAATAATATATATTAATGGATTGATAATATAATATGGACTATTTTAGTAAAACAAATATGTTTAATTTGGAAAACTAACTAAGAATTTATAAATAATTTATCTTTAATTGTGTGGATTATTTTTGAATGTGCAAAGGGCCAAAGGCGATTGGAAAAGAGGCTAGAGCACTGTACAGTGCAGGGAAAGCTACTGGGATGACATTCTGGGCACCAAATATTAACATATTCAGGGAACCAAGATGGGGGAAGAGGGCAAGAAACACCAGGAGAGGATCCATTGATGATAGGGAAATATGTAACGTCATATGTGAGAAGGCTTCGAGGGGATCCGTTCAAAGGAGGGAAGATCAACAGACAACTTCAAGCTTCAGCTTGTTGTAAGCATTTTACTATTTATGACCTGGATAATTGGAAAGCAACAAATCGCTATGTTTTCAATGCTCGTGTAAGTTTCTCGCATGTTTAATAACCTTTACCATATTGTTTGTTCCCGTTGCTTTGTTGAACAAAGAAACACAAATAACATAGCGGAATCGCTTTGCTCTTGCTTCAACAATTAAACACGAGGCTACAACTAAATACCCAAGCCAAGCAAATAACTAATAATTTGAAAAATAAGCAATCAATCGCAATCACATAAAAACACATAAATTTTTATGTAGAAAACCTCCTCAATTTGAGAAAGGAAAAACCACGGGACTAGAGTCCACGATAACTTTTACTATCAACAATAATAGGAACAATGAGTCATCTTTACATTAAACTAGATGAATAATTAGCCATAAATATCAAAGGTTACACACCCTTGACAAACCACATCAAAAGATAATACACAAAGAAAGTTGAAGAAACTAAGTTCAAATTTCATAAAAAAAACAACACTCGTTACGAGCATAATATCTCACTCTTCAAGATCAAAACCAGATCTCCATTGTCCAGAATGTGTGCTTGCCTCTCTTGAACGTGCCCACCAAATTTGAGCTCGATCCAACGATTAACAAATCCAGAAACTCAATTTTAGTTTGACTAGTCTATGCTAAAACTCTCTTCCTTATTTCTCTCAAAAGTTACGACTCTCGTTCATTTTTTTTTATTTTTCTCTCTTGCTTCTTCCCTAATCTGATTTCATAATAAAAGAGAAGATAATGTTTATTTGAAAATAACAAAATTACTTTTTAAGTGATTAAAAATTCCTTATCTACATTGGTTTCAAGATTTAGCTCATGTAGGTAAACTTTTGAGTCATCCTCCAACCAAGAGGGAAACCTAACATGCTTTTCCTGTAATTTTTGTCTTTTGGGAGACAAATGAAAGATTCCGCCTTGCTGAAAGTGAGTTTTATCAACTTTTTCAATGTATATTTGATCTGAAAAAACTAGATTGGTTGATAATTTGACATGCATGTTTTATTGGTTTTGCACTTATCTGATCTGTTCATTTGTTTTATGGGTTTTATTTGGGTTCTTGAAAGCAAATAACAGAACATTAAATCACAACTTCAATAATCTGTTGCGGCGTTTATACCGAGCTAGAAAGGGCAAAAAGAAAAAAAAAAGGAAGTGCAGTGGGCTGTTTCGTGGCCTTAAATTTTGAAATTGTTTTGAGTGCAAATGCAGAAAGGCAGTACACTGTTTTTATGTTTTGCATCAGTTGCCATGAAATTTGACTGAGGGAAAAAATTACTACTGCCTTTTTCATTCTTTTCTCAGTCAAGTCACTTTAACGAAAAAGATTTTCGTGTTCACACAACTTTACTTTACTGTACTACCAGTTATGTTACTATATCAATACTATTTTTTATTATTTGTTTTCGGTTATATCAGATGACCCCGCAAGCTTTAGCAGACACGTATCAACCACCATTCAAAAGCTGTGTTGAAAGAAGGGAGAACCAGTGGGCTGATGTCTGGTTACAATAGAGTTAACGGTGTCCCTAGCTCTGCGGATTTCAATCTCCTTTCTAAATCTGCTAGAGCCCAATGGGGTTTTGATGGGTACGCATTTTAACAGTTTATCCATTTGCAATGCAATTAATTCCTGTGAATGAATCAATTAGTTGTTAAACATGTGCATCCTTATAACTAATTTAATAATTTAGCAATTAGAAAACAATTTGATGTTCAAACAAATTTTTATCCATATATAGTATTTAAATCATAGAGTCGTACTTATTAAAAATGAATTAAATTCTATTGTTTCTGTTTTTTTTTTTTTTTAAATTATCTTATCTCGATGCATAATAGAGATAGTTAGGAAAAAAAAGTTAATAATTTAGCAAATACTATCTAAAGAATCGATATTTTTAATGGTTAAATCATGCTTTCTTCTTAAGTTAGGTGTCCATTCTTTTGCTACTTGCCCTCCAAGATCTTTTAATCTTCTTCTAGAGGACATGCATGGGATTTGCTTTTCAAGGTTATGCTCTTTGTAATCTTCCTCTTTTGCAGGTTAATATATCATCAAATATAGATATAATTTCCAATAAATTTACCTAATAAAATTCTCTGTCCAAAAGAAGAGATTTTGTGTATCTGGTGACCCGTATGTATGTATACCTTTTCTTTCTCGTTCTTGCAAGCTCGATGTCTCTCGGTCCTCGTTTCTTCTTCGAGTCAGCCCATCCCATCTCAATTTTGTCCAAGGCTTTAAACCCTCCTTGGCTCCTTCCAATTAATTAAAAAATAAAAAGTTGTGGTCAATATTAAATAACGATCATCTAATATATACTAACAGATTTTTATATTTTACATGCTCTTATTTAAAAATGAATTATATTTAATGAATTTTGAAATAGATTTGTATCATAATTTATGTTTAACTTTATTTAGTACTAAAATTTAATTTAACTAAAGGATTGTATTTTTTATATATATAAATTAATATTTAATCGCCGAAATATATAACCTGATTGATTTTAGGCAAGTCAGCATTAATTAGTATGAAAGATTAGCCAATTAAATCTATTGAAAGTGAATTTTTTTAATGGAAAAAGCTTAGGAGTGCTTAGGCCACCAAATTAATTAGTATGAAAGATTAGCCAATCAAACCCATGTCTAATTGAGGTCTAGTATCCGATTCAGCTCCAAACTTCTCACTAAAATCCAAATACCCGATCCAAACCCAATCAATTGAAAGTCCAATATCTGACTAGAAAGGTCTGGAAGAAGAATAGCAGGCACAACGTTTTTTAAAGAGATAATGGAGCATGGATTCTTAACGAAATTGAGATTTTATTGAACACACTTAAAGAGTAACAGTACTTGACAATTAGAAAACCAATCAACAATATAATCAACAAAGATTCTGCCAGAATTTAGCATTAAAAAAAAAGAAAACGTTGGGCATTGCATTTAGCATAAAAAGACACACCAAGACAACTACAAAAAGAATTGGAACATTGCAGCACATAATGAGCATTATGGAGTTGCCCCATATGACAAAATATAAAAGAACGGCACCTACTTAGAAAGATCATGAAAGAGTTTAAAAAACTAAAAAAATACAAGTTGTAACAAGAGAAAAAAAATAAATAATACAAATAAAAAAAAACTCAACTTACACCGTAAATAGTTTACAGAGCATTATCCTAATTTTAAATACACTTGAAGTTTATCAGATTACAATTTATAAGCAATAATCAAATAAACTATTATTGAGTAAACTGATAAATTGATTTCTAACTTTTATCATGTATCTGTTGTTTGTAATCATAAATAATTGACACGCTAGGAGTAACTATTTGCAGGCATTTTTTGTCATCGGCTAATGTGAATGTCTTGCTTAAATTTGTTACATTGTTGAACTTACAATTTTGTCTCCTCTAGTAGGTAGGTTGCTTGACCTTGTAATTCTTAGTTATAATTGTTATTTTGATTTGAAATTAATTTAAGAAATTTAAATTATTTATACATAATCATCGTTGTTGTGAATGATTATCCTGACAAACTTACAACCCAACCTAATTTGATATATTGCAAACTTATTTTTAATTGCTTAATTTAGTTTTCATTCAAGAAAATATCGAAACCATCCTTAGGAGAAGTAGTAGCACACATAATATTGTTAATTAAACCTTTTTATATTTGAATTTCGAAGTTAGTCTGATTTATAAATTATTATCCAACCGTCTTTTATTTTTATTTTTTACAAAATCTTACTAACTAAGACACACACGAAACAACATGTAATACATGTAGAAGCTTTCTCTCGGTTTTTATTTATTTATATTATTACTATATTTACAAAAATTTTAACACCCTAGACTGTATGATTCCACACGGTGCGATAAGAAGTGTGAATTGATGCAATTATTGTTTTGTTGATTACCATATCGTTAATGACAATCAGGTATATCACATCAGACTATGATGCGGTTTCCATCATCAATGATGCTCAAGGATATGCCAAATCACGAGAAGATGCTGTATTTGATGTGCTTAAAGCTGGCATGAGACCCACCTATTCATCTTTTTCATAAAATGAACATGTGCCTGTGCTTTTGACCTGTGGAGTAGCTAATGTCCTTCAATTCGGTGTTTTTGATGCTAACGCCAATGTTTTTCTTTTTTCACCATTTTTTTCCCTATGTTTCTCCAGTATACTTTAAACCCTAATTACTTGTTTAAATAGGTAAAGTATTGTTCAGATGCTTTGCACATGAATTAGTGAGTGTTACTAGGTATCTGTTTCACTGTTTGGCTGGACTCATGACCATTACTGTCGACATCAGTATCGTGAAAATTAATGTATCTGTTTCCCAATGGACTGGTCCCTCCATTTTCTCTTCCGGGTCTATGTCAAAGGATCCGAATTTGGATGTTAAATGTAGTATTGAACAAGCGATTAGGCAGCAAGGGTGGCTCGTTGTAGAAAAGTTGGATAAGAACTTGGTAGAATAGGTTTCAAGAGTCCCCACGCCCCTCCTTGCGGGCCACCAACCAGGTCAACTGGTCTTCTTCCAATTGTTAATAACACTGAACTGGTTATGTGTTTTTTTATGATTTATCTGATATGTACCTAAAGGATGTTGATCCAAATTCATCGTCCTATATATATACATTGGACATGCATTAGATAGTTGACTGCATATTAAATTTTGCAGAACAGGAAGCCATTGTTTCTGCGTTTAGGTTCAATTCCTTCTATTACTAAAAGTTGATACTTCTTTTTCCAAAGACCTTGTTGACACGTATGAATTAGAGCTTCAAGTGGTTAAAATTGGAATGACATGCACCGATGATATATACTCCTTTGGCACAATGTTTATGTTAACAATTAAACTGTTCTATAAATGGACCGAGAAGATGAGCTGGAAATGCTATTCGACATTCTCAAATTAGTTGTAAACTTCCTACTTGCATTCATCCTTAGAACAGAAAGTGGATTCTACACCCGAGGACACACGTGTGGGGTATAATGGAGCTAAAAACTCTTTCTAATGCAGAAATGCTGCCTGATCGATTAGTAATTCATATTTCACAATTAAATTTTCTTCTAGCATTCAAAAAGATTTTAGTTTTATTTCCAATTAGATGGTTTTCAGTAAGTTAAACTAGGTGGCTTCATTTTAGATTTTGTAGCTAATGGTGAACTGCTTGTTGCAATGCAGGTGGGAAATTACCAATGACTTGGTACCCACAAGAATTTGTCAAAGTTCCGATGACAGATATGAGGATGCGACCTGAAACTTCTTCAGGCTAGCCCGGGCGCACATACAGATTCTACAAAGGCCAAACCGTTTTTGAGTTTGGTTATGGCCTCAGCTACTCAAAATATTCTTATGAACTTACAGCTGTCTCTCAAAACAAATTCTACTTGAATCGGTCTTCAACAATGCATGAAATCAACAACTTTGGCTCGGTTCGTTTCACATTGCTTTCTGAGTTGGGAATAGAATTCTGTGAGCAGAACAAATTCCCTGTTAGAATTGGAATAAAGAACCACGGAGAGATAGCAGGCAAGCATCCAGTTTTACTATTTGCGAGGCAGACAAAACATGGAAATGGTAGGCCAAGGAAACAGTTGATTGGATTCCAGAGTGTGATACTAAGTGCAGGGGAAAGAGCAGAAATTGACTTTGAAGTGAGCCCTTGTGAACACCGTAGTAGAGCTAGTGAAGATGATTTGATGGTGATGGAAGAAGGAACACATTTCTTAGTTGTAGAAGGTCAAGATTACCCAATTTCCGTTGTAGTTTGATATGGAGAATCGATTCTTCAGAACTGAAAAGCTAGTATTTGCTATTTAAAGTTGTTGGTACCATATCAATGATTCCATAGAATATGGTAGGTACACACCCAGAAAAATAATAGATTTCAGGTACACATGGATGACTGTTACTCCCACTTCAGACTCTTTTTCCTTACATTAATTCACTCTACCTTTTGTTGTTCCTACCCTATATAAGTATGACTGAGTGGTATGGTCGAAGCTCTGTGACTATGACCAAAATAAAATAGAAGATCTTAGGTTCCTTCGTTTTCATATTTTCTCAAATTTTCTAGCCTCGGCCGAAAATACGACTAATTCTAGGCTATATTTTTATTCTACGAAATTCATCCAGTACTTCATGTACAATCGCCAAGTAGGTCTCTACAACAAAGATCATTTACCATGTTTGAATGGGTTCATAAGCATTTAATGGGCTCATAAACAAATGTTTGTGAGCCCATTTAGAAGAAGAAGACGGGGTCGAAATACAACGCATTTCCGTAAGCCATAAGTAGAATCTTTACGTTTAAGGCTCAAATCCATTAGCAGTAAAACCTGGTTCAGCCCCGACCCCGTTACAGTTTATGCGAATCATGAACCATGTACTGTTTTCAACGCCACTATGCCCAAACAGCTTGTAGCTTTTCTCCCTTTTCTTTTCCTCTAAAAATGTTTGATACAAATGAAAGGATACCTCAATTCCCCCTCTTTCTTGTTTTTTTTTTTTTTTTTTTTTTTTATATGTTGACCTGTCGAATTACTTTTTTGTTGCTCAAATTATGTTAATTTTCTTACATTTAACATAGATGGTATTTCTTTTTTATTAGATTGCAAATGCACACTAATCAGTATGATTTTTTTTATATCAACTTTCTACATCAAAATTAAATATTTTCCGTTCAGTTTTAAATAATATTCACATTTGAAGTAATACATTCACAAAAAATTGTTTTTATAGCTTTTTTTTTTTTTTTAGAATTTAAATCTTAAATGATAAGGTAAAGAACAAACCTATTTAATAATTACAATAAGTCTTAAAATGTAATTAAAAAATACCATTTAATTACAAACTCAGAAAACAATAATGTCTTTTTCCATTACAACTAAATCTATTTTCTTTCTTTCTTTCTTTTTTTAAGAATGCCAATTGAATTAATTCTCTTTGCGGTGTTGTCTCTCATCGGGGTTTCTAAATCAGGGAGAGGAACCAAAATTCAAGAAAAAAGAGTTAAATTGACCCACATTAAAAAAAAAAAAAGAACAAAACAAAACAAAAAACAAAAAAAAACAAAACCACATTTACACACTGCTCGGACAATTTACCAGTGCATGGGGCAAATGGGATCCAGCTCATTAAAGCAGAAGCAACTTTTACCCATCAAGACTTTATTAACCTTTTTTACCTTGTCCAAAACATTATTATTGTTGTCGTTTTAGAGAAGAAAAAGATTAAAAACATCAAAGATGAACCAAGACAGAAGTGGCAGTTCAGTGACCTTTGCAACTTCAGCTTTACTTGACGCTCACTTCCACTTCACAGTTTCATCAACAAATCCTCATAATGAGACCCAAAAACCTCTGTTTCTTTACCTTTACCTTGTTCTCTTTACTTATCCTACGAGTTGACTCAACTCAGCCACCATTCTCATGCGACTCATCGAACCCATCAACACAGGCCTTCCCTTTTTGTAAAACCACACTGCCCATCAGCCAAAGAGCCAGGGACCTGGTCTCTAGGCTCACATTGGATGAAAAGATTTCTCAACTGGTTAACTCAGCTTCACCAATTCCAAGACTCGGTATCCCGGGTTATGAGTGGTGGTCCGAGGCATTACACGGTGTTGCCAATGCCGGACCAGGCATTCATTTCAACGGTACTATTAAGGGTGCCACTAGTTTCCCTCAAGTCATTCTCACCGCTGCTTCTTTTGATGCGTACCAATGGTATCGCATTGGTCAGGTAAGACCATCCAAACAAAACCTTACCCTTTCTTAATTACTGCTTGCAAAATATATACGTTCTATGAATTTGACTTTGATCGTGTGAGTTTTTATTGAATGTGCGAAGGCGATTGGAAAAGAGGCTAGAGCTCTGTACAATGCCGGGCAAGCTACAGGCATGACATTTTGGGCACCGAATATTAACATATTTAGGGACCCAAGATGGGGGAGAGGGCAGGAGACGCCTGGGGAGGATCCATTAGTGACAGGGAAATATGCAGCGTCATATGTGAGAGGGCTTCAAGGGGATTCTTTTGAAGGAGGGAAGATTGAAGGGCATCTTCAAGCTTCAGCTTGTTGTAAGCATTTTACTGCTTATGATTTGGATAATTGGAAAGGCACGAATCGCTTTGTGTTTGATGCTCGTGTAAGTGTGCCTTTCCTTTTTATTTTGATCCTTTTTGGAACTAAATTAAAGGATATTTCCTTGTTAGTGCTTTATGATAACATTTGGGTTATATATTTAATCCAAGAAATCAGATTAGTGGATATCCTTTCTTGGGTTTTGCAATTATGTTAATTTGCTGGCATTATTTAGGTTCTGGAAATTAGCAAATGCCAGAACATAAAATAACAATTTCAATCTGTTGCAAAATTTATTCTCAGCTAAAAAAAAAAAACAAAAATGCAGCAGGTTATTTCCTCGCTCTAGTTTTTGGATCAGTTTTGAGTGAAAATGACTGGAGGAAAAAACAAACTATTTTTTTTATTCTTTTGTTACAAATCACTTCAAGATTTTCTGGTTCACACTGCTTTTGCTGTACTACTGTATTAGTAGCTATATCCCTACTACTTTTTATTTGTTTTTAGGTGACCATGCAAGATTTAGCAGACACATATCAGCCACCGTTCAAAAGTTGTGTTGAAGAAGGGAGAGCCAGTGGGATAATGTGTGCTTACAATAGAGTTAATGGAGTCCCTAGCTGTGCTGACTCCAATCTCCTATCCAAAACTGCTAGGGCCCAATGGGGTTTTCGTGGGTATGTATTCATACAGTTCATCCATGTGCATTGCAAATTCTTGTGAATAGCATACTACTCAATATGAAGTGTGAATAGGTGTCAATTATTGTTTTGTTAATTACCATCATGTTTTAATAATCAGGTATATTACGTCAGACTGTGATGCTGTTTTGATCATCCATGACAATCAAGGATATGCCAAATCACCAGAAGATGTTGTGGCTGATGTGCTTAAAGCTGGTATAGGACCTACCTCTTGATCTCTTTGTCTATGGACACGTGCATGTGTTTTTGGCTTTAGGTTTGTTTCATCGGTGACTTGCCTCTAGTTAGTAATGATATAGCATCATAAAATTCTGGACCAGTTTAATCTTTTGGCCCTATGGGTCCACCAGTGAAAAGTAGCCCACAGGTTTGCACCGAAGTCAACATTTACCATCAATGGGTCCATTACTCTCTCATCACAGCCCTCTTATTGTGGCTAGTTTTCTTAGGTGTTGTGGATGCTTAAACTATTTGTTCTCTTTTTACAATTTTTCTATGGGATTCTCTGTATCATGATTTTTAGTCTTTGAACCCTAATTAATCATTTAAATAGGCCAAGTATGTTCAGATGCTCTACATATGAGTTAGGAGTGTTACTAGATACATAGTTGGTTGGACCAGTGACTAGTGACTAAGGCTGTTGGCATTATTACTGTATGAATCGGTTGTCCTTTTCTCTCTTAAAAGAACAGAATTCGCATGTCACATCTAGCATTGAACATGCAATTAGATAATTGACTGCAGTCACTGCTTATTAAAATTTTGCTGAAAAAGGAGGCAATTTACCTCAAATGTTTCGTCCGTTTGATTAGTAAAAGTTGATATACTTCTTTTTCCAAAGACAATGTTACTTGTAAGACTGAGAGCTTCTAAACTTAGAAGCTTGAAATAACTCATAGACTCCTTTATCACAATGTCTACGGTAACAATTAAGCCGTTCTATGAATGGACCAAGAAGATGAGTTGGGAAAGCTATTCGACTTTCTCAAATTATTAAACTTCCCACTTGCATATATGCTCTATCCTCATAAGTGGATTCTATATATATGTGGGATAATGGACCAGGACACACTTAGTGTCGAAGAATCACTCGACCCTCAACCCGAAAGCTTCAGCTATTTGGTTAGGAGAAACCCCAAGAAATGGTTTTATATTAACTGTCTATCCCTTAGGAGAACCACAATGTTGTCTGATCACATGAATACTTTTGATCATAATTAACTTTTCTAGTATTTAAAAGTATTTTAGTTTCATTTTCGATTACATGGACTTTGGTAGATAAACCAAATTAGCCTCTTAGTTTACGTTTAATCTTTGAAGTTTGTCCAACATGCATATACAGGCATGGATGTCAACTGTGGATCGTACTTGCAAAAACACACCAAAGTAGCAGTGGAAAAGAAAAAACTGACAGAGTCTGATATTGACAGGGCCCTTCATAATCTGTTCTCTGTAAGAATGAGGTTAGGCCTTTTCGATGGAAATCCAGAAAGGCAGCTTTTTGGAAACATTGGTCCTAACCAAGTCTGCTCCCAAGAGCACCAGATACTAGCCCTTGAAGCCGCCCGTAATGGCATTGTCCTTTTAAAGAACTCTGCAAAACTCCTCCCACTTTCAAAATCCAAAACCAAGTCCCTGGCTGTTATTGGCCCCAATGCCAATTCTGGACAAATGCTTCTGGGAAACTATGCAGGTCCTTCATGCAGATTTGTGACGCCGCTGCAAGTGTTGCAGAGCTACATTAAACTCACTGTTTATCACCCAGGTTGTGATACAGTTCAATGCTCTTCAGCTTTAATTGACAGGGCAGTGGATGTAGCAAAAGGAGCAGATAATGTAGTATTGATGATGGGTCTGGACCAAACTCAGGAGAGGGAGGAACTTGATCGCAGAGACTTGGTGCTGCCAGGTAGGCAACAGGAACTCATCATCACAGTTGCAAAAGCAGCAAAGAATCCAGTTGTTCTAGTGCTTCTTTCTGGAGGTCCAGTTGATATATCTTTTGCCAAGTATGATAAAAACATCGGAAGCATTTTGTGGGCTGGTTACCCTGGTGAAGCTGGTGCTATTGCCCTTGCAGAAATCATGTTTGGTGAACATAATCCAGGTAAAGCTATGATCTATGCTTTAAAAGAAAAGGCTTTGCTTCTTTATTTGTGCTTAAGTGGATGAGAAATTGAAAGTTATTTTTCTTTCAACATCTTATGGTACTGACAGTGAATTACACGCTGCTACGTAGGAGGGAGATTACCAATGACTTGGTATCCACAAGAATTTGTCAAAGTTCCAATGACAGACATGAGGATGCGACCTGAAACTTCTTCAGGCTATCCTGGCCGCACATACAGATTCTACAAAGGCCAGAGTGTTTTTGAGTTTGGTTACGGCCTCAGCTACTCCAAATATTCTTATGAACTAACAACTGCCTCCCGAAACAAAGTACTTTACCTAAATCAGTCCTCAACAATGCATATAATCAACAACTTTGACTCAGTTCGTTCCACATTGGTTTCTGAGTTGGGCAAGGAGTTCTGTGAGCAAAACAAATTCCCTATAAGAATTGGTGTAAAGAACCATGGAGAGATGGCAGGCAAGCATCCAGTTTTACTATTTGCGAGGCAGACAAAACATGGAAATGGTAGGCCAAGGAAACAGCTGATTGGATTCCAAAGTGTGATCTTAAGTGCTGGGGAAAGAGCTGAAATTGAATTTGAAGTGAGCCCCTGTGAACACCTTAGTAGAGCTAATGAAGATGGCCTGATGGTTGTGGAAGAAGGAACGCATGTCTTAGTTGTAGAAGGTGACGAGTACCCAATTTCCGTCGTCGTTTGATACGGAGAATCAGTTCTTCAAAACTGAAATGCCAGTATTTACTAGTTTGATGGTGGTTACCTTATCAATGAAGCCAGAGAAAGGGCTTACGTACACACCCAGAAAAATGATTGGTTTCAGTTATACAGATAATGCTACTCCCTATTTCCTAGTTATTAAAATGGTTTGTAAATTTCCACTGTATCTTTTGTTGTTTCTACTTTATTGTATGACTGGATGGTAAAGTCGAAGCTCTCGCGATCAATTCGAAGATCTTATGTCCCTTGATTTGCATATTTTCTCGAATTTTCAAGCCGAGGCCGAAATTCGACGAATTCTGGGCTACTTTTACTTGCTCATTTACCCTGTGTTTCCTTGTGTTTCTACTTCTAAGATCTAGTAGGCCTAGTTCCAGGTGGGGAAGATTTGGGCCCTCATTGGCTTAGGAAGCTCTTGATGAGGAAAGCCTTCCCGTCATGCAGGGGGCCACATTAAGGATTCATCGTTATCCCGACCAAAACAACTGGCAGATATAATTTTGTATTTTTCCTAGAAATTGTCAAAACACACAGATGCTCAGTATCAGCATCTTCACCGCCAGAGTCCAGTAAGCTCACTTCAAAAATAAATCTCCATTCCCTCTGTTCGGATCTCCACAACAGGCTCACAGAATGAGACTCCTCCAAAACTTGTGTCTCACAATCCTCATTATCACCCAGACTTCTTCACTACACTTATATGTTGAGTCAACACAGCCACCATACTCATGTGACTCATCTGACTCATCTACAAAGTTGTATCCTTTTTGCCAAACTAAACTACCCATAAGCCAAAGAGTGGAAGACCTTGTCTCTAGACTGACATTACAGGAAAAAGTATCCCAACTTGTTGACACAGCTCCAGCGATTCCAAGGCTTGGCATCCCTGCCTATGAATGGTGGTCTGAGGCACTACATGGTGTTGCCTTTCAAAGAAATGTTCGCCAAGGCATCCGTTTCAATGGATCAATTCGGTCTGCCACAAGCTTCCCTCAAGTTATTCTCACTGCTGCTTCATTTGATGCCCATCTTTGGTATCGCATTGGTCAAGTTAGTCACCTCATCTGCTAGATTCTTAATACACGTGTTTGCACATTAACATTTTTTCCGATTCAGTTTCATTGTTTTATATATATATAAGAATCTATGTTCTACATCCAAAGTAATATCATTATGGATATGTGAATGAATTCTTGAAGGTGATTGGAAAAGAAGCAAGAGGGATATACAATTCTGGACAAGCTACAGGCATGACATTTTGGGCACCAAACATCAACATATTTAGAGACCCAAGATGGGGAAGAGGGCAAGAAACACCTGGAGAAGATCCATTGGTCACGGGAAAGTATGCAGTGTCATATGTGAGAGGAGTTCAAGGGGATTCTTTTGAAGGAGGAACCCTTGGTGAGCATCTTCAAGCTTCAGCTTGTTGCAAGCATTTTACTGCTTATGACTTGGATAGTTGGAAAGGCATGAATAGGTTCATCTTTGATGCTCAAGTAAGTGATACATAGGGGTCTTCATTGTCTTTTTCCTTTTGTGTGCTTTGTGCTAAAAATTATATTGGAAGATTCCTCGTTGGTGCAAGTACCTGATGTATTTAAATAGTTGTTTAATCAGAAAGAAGAAGAAGAAGAAGATTGGTTACAAATCGAGCTGTTGGGTTCTGCATTTGTCTATGATTTTGAATTTACGGCTATATCGACTGTTTTAAATTAAACTAACACTATAGGTATAATTCAACGATATCCAGCTAAAGTGATCATTTACCTACAGATAACCTTTGACCATTCAGAAAATGTAGGCTTATCAGATAATTCAGTGAAGGAGAAAATATCCAAGTTCAAAAGAAGCACAAGATTACATACTGCTTCAGTTGAAAAGTTGTTTCTTGTCTTGTAAAGTAGATTTATTTCCCCTTTGTGAATTATTTAAATTTATATTTTATGATATTTTTGTTAAATTGAAATTCTCTACCATTTAATTTACACGGCAGGACTGTTTTCTGGGTTTAGGTCACGTTGCAGGATTTGGCAGATACGTACCAGCCTCCATTCCAAAGTTGCATACAAGAAGGAAAAGCTAGTGGGATAATGTGCGCTTATAATCGTGTTAATGGGGTTCCAAACTGTGCAGATTACAATCTCTTGTCTAAGAAAGCCAGAGGGCAGTGGGGCTTCTACGGGTAATGAGATAGTGTTGACATAAATGTTGAAATGATGGAGGTTTTTTTTTTTTTTACGAAAAAATCATGTGTGTTTTTCCTTCGAAAAATAATCAGGTACATCACATCAGATTGTGATGCGGTCTCCATAATTCATGATGATCAAGGATACGCTAAATCACCAGAAGATGCTGTTGCAGATGTGCTTAAAGCTGGTATTGTGATACTCTACTTTCCCATTGCCATACGAGGATTTGTATCTGTATGCAAGTTAAATGAACAGATCAAATAAACGAAATGGTGTAGATGTTTAATATACAAAAGAATCATGTGGTCCACAAGAGGAAATTTTTCCAAATTATCTGCAGATTTGGACCAATTGTGTTTGATTTTAGATATAGCTGTCAAAAAAAGTCCCAAGAAAAGAATCCACCGGACCATTGTATTAAATGACATTTCCTTTAGCCAAAGCTAAAAATAAAAGTGCAAAGATCTCGCATTTTCTGGAAACGATCAGCACATCAAGGAACATGTCGCACTTCACACACAGTAGAATGATATAGGCTGGCATGCGTCAATCTCCAATCAAACAGCCATAACTATGCAACTTGTTTCAACTTTCTATTTCAAGAGACAAAATAAATGGAGTGCATAAACAGTTGCTGTTTTTACTTACCTGTCTTCTAATTTCTTGGAGAAAAATTTTCAGGGATGGATGTGAACTGTGGTGATTACTTGAAAAACTACACCAAATCAGCTGTCAAAAAGAAAATATTGCCGGAATCTGAAATAGACAGAGCCCTACACAATCTTTTCTCTCTGAGGATGAGATTGGGACTGTTCAATGGCAATCCCACTAAACAGCCTTATGGCAACATTGCTCCAGACCAAGTTTGTTCCCCAGAGCATCAGGGTCTAGCCCTTGAAGCAGCTCAAGATGGCATTGTCCTACTGAAGAATTCTGATAGGCTTCTCCCGCTTTCAAAATTGAAAACCCTGTCTCTTGCAGTTATAGGCCCCAATGCAAATAATTCAACAATGCTTCTTGGAAACTATTTTGGTCCACCCTGCAAAACTGTTACACCATTGCAAGGATTGCAGAATTATATCAAGAACCCTAGGTACCACCCAGGTTGCAGTAGAGTTTCATGCTCTTCAGCTTCAATTAATCAAGCAGTAAAATTGGCAAAAGGGGCAGATCAAGTGATATTAGTTATGGGACTAGATCAAACCCAAGAGAAGGAGGACAAAGATCGTGTGGACTTGGTGCTCCCAGGGATGCAGCGGGAGCTGATAACTTCTGTAGCAAAAGCTGCAAAAAAACCTGTTGTTCTGGTGCTCTTTTGTGGAGGTCCAGTAGATGTATCTTTCGCCAAATATGATCGGAATATTGGAAGCATTATATGGGCTGGCTATCCAGGTGAAGCTGGAGGAACTGCACTGGCACAAATTATATTTGGTGACCACAACCCAGGTAAACTATTCAATGCTGGACCATTAATCGCATAAGAAAAAATGTAGCATACTTCACTGCTAACTTTTTTCAGTTGAATGATGTTCATCTTGCTGCCATGCAGGAGGGAGATTACCAATGACTTGGTATCCGCAAGATTTCATCAGAGTACCAATGACAGACATGAGAATGCGTCCTCAACCATCTTCAGGCTATCCTGGCCGTACTTATAGGTTTTACAACGGGAAAAAGGTTTTTGAATTCGGCTATGGTCTCAGCTACTCAAACTATTCTTATGAGCTTGCCTCAGTTACACAAAACAAGTTCTACATGAGAGCTTCAAGTAATCAACTGACAAATAACTCAAATACTATCAGATACAAGTTTATTTCAGACATGGGTATAGAACTCTGTGAAAAGAATAAGTTTACAGTGACTGTCAGAGTTAAAAACCACGGAGAGATGGCAGGTAAGCATCCAGTTTTGATCTTTGTGAGGCAAGCAAAGCTTGGAAGTGGAAGGCCAAACAGAAAGTTGGTTGGATTCCAAACTGTGAATTTAAATGCAGGGGAGAAAGCTGAAATTAAATATGAGCTGAGCCCTTGCGAGCACCTTAGCAGCCCTGACGATCGTGGTTTGATGGTGATGGAAGAAGGACCGCAATTCTTGCTTATTGGAGACAAGGAATATCCAATCACTATTATATTTTAGTACTCGTTTATGATTCGTATTGCTGTTATGTACTAGATTTTGTGAACACATGGTGGCTTCCAACAATGGATCGCCAATTTCAAATGCTTGGAATGAATAATATACCATTGGAACAATCTTTTTCATAGAAGATTGTATATGGCACGGCTGAGTGCCAGAATGTGTTCGAGAACTGGAATACAGCTTACAAGTGTTAGTCAATGCCCAAATAGCAGATCTTAGGTTCCGTCACTTTCATATTTTCCCAGATTTTCTAGTTTAGGCCAAAAAAAAAAGAAAAGAAGAAGCTAATTTTTGGCTACTTTAATTTATTATTTGCTTTTGTGCTTCAAGTTGGCCAAGTTGAAGTTGCAAGGGAAAGATTTAGGCCGTCGTTGGTTAATGGATGCTGAATCACTGCATGATGGAAACCTGCCCATCATGCGTAGGGCCACATTAAGGATTCATCTTTAATCAGGCACCTTAACAACTCACGAAGCAGTGCATAGAGAAGGTGTAGTTTTCCTATTTCTTCTGCATCATCGTATGACTTTGTTCCGACAGGTTAGAGCATCTTCAATGGTGCTCTTTACTTTTAGTTAGTATTTTTAATATAAATAGAGAGTATCATTAATTATATAGATAGAAGATCAATACCCTCTCTAATGCTACTCTGTATTTAACTCTTTATTGTGATAAAATCTATAAAACCCATAGAGGCTATTGGTGAAGAGGTTGAGTGGCATTGGAAATAGTAATTTTCATTAATAAAATATAAGATAAAGAGTCATTTGGACTCTCTAGCATTTGAGAGCCAAAGATACTCTTTATACTAATTTTAAAGATAAAGATTGTGATAAAGAGAGCATTGGAGATGAAATTTGGATCAAACCTCTTTATTATAAAAAAAATCTTAATATAAAAAGAGCATTGGAGATACTCTTACTTAGCTACCGCAAAAGCCAAGTGATTTAGAGACCTCGTCCCGAGGAAGAGATGGTCAAACCCGACGGATTCCGAATTAGAGCATTGTAAATGAACCTTTTTCAAGTTAATTATATTAGTCTCTCTCATTGACGGAACAAATTTTCTTTTTTTAAAAAACTAATCATTTATTTCTTCTTATTTTAATTTCATAATAACTTAATTCTTTCATTAATTTTTTAGATTACTGATTTAAAAAAAAAAATTGGTTAAAAAGAAAGAAAAGAAGTGGTGAACGAAAGAAATACAAGTATTAAAAAATAATTTAAAAAATCTTTAATCTAACAGAAAAAACTGATGAAATGATTAAATTATTAACAGAATTAAAATGTAAAAATTAATAATTAGTTTTTTTTAAAAAAAAATTTAATTTATTGGTTTTTCAAAATGAAAATGGCTAATTTATAATTTACTCGACCTTTTTCCTATAAAAATAGCTTTGAAAAAAGAATAATTCATTCCACCTATTCAGTTCTTATAAACAAATTCACAGAATGAACTCCAAACTTGTGCCTCGTAATCCTCATCGTCCCATTACGTCGCTCCACTTATGTTTGAGTCAGCATATTCATGTCACTCGTAGGATCCTAACGCCCGCGCTTCGTCTTCACAGCCTCCATACGCCTGTGACGAATGCGTATGTTTTTTGCAAAATTACATTACCTATAAGGCAAAGAGCAGAAGACCTTGTCTCTTGACTAATATTTGAGGAAAAGGTTACCCAACTTGTTGACTCATCCCCAGCAATTCCGAGGCTTGGCATCCATGCCTATGAATGGCGGTCCGAAGGATTACACGGTAGCGGTTTTCTGACCAGGTTGCACACAAGGCATCCGTTTTTTCAATAGAACCATTCAGCATGCCACAAGCTTCCGTCAAGTCATTCTCACTACTGCTTCATTTGATGCCCATATTTGGTATCGCATTGGTCAAGAAAGTCAGTAACCTGTCTGTTAGATTATTAAAACAGGTGCAGTTACATTAACATTTATTTTTTCGTATTCAGTTCTGTATGCAAAAGATTCAGCTCTGTCACTTTGATTCACTAAAAAAGGAAAAACAGAGTTCAAGAACCAAAGTCATATCATTTTTTATATAAAAAAATGGAGTACAATTGTAACAGTAAATGCATGTGTCGGGATTCTCTCCCCCCCCCCCCCCCTCGCGATCAATCATTTGTGAAATGATTTTTGAAGGCGACTGGTAAAGAAACTAGAGCCTTATACGATGCTGGAAAAGCTACAGGCTTGGCATTTTGGGCACCAAACGTCAACATATTTAGAGACCCAAGATCGGGAAGAGGGCAAGAGACACCTGGATAAGATCCATTGGTTGTAGGGAAGTATGGAGCGTCATTTGTCAGAGGAGTTCAGGGGGACTCTTTTGAAGGAGAGTCGACCCTTGGTGACAATCTTCAAGCTTCAGCTTGTCGCAAGCATGATACTGCCCATGACTTGGACAAATGGAATGGCGTGAATAGGTTCAGATTTAATTCATAGTAAGTGATATGCAATGGTTTAAGAACCTGATGTGTTTAAATAGTTGTTTAATTTGTTTTTTTTTAAAAAAAAACAGACTTGTGAGGAATCGGGTTGTTCAGTTATGCACTTACATATGATTCTTAATTTATGGCTATATCCCATTAGTTTTAACTCAATGTATAATGTGTGTTGTAAGATTTTTGTGTTAAATGAAATTCTCTGCTATGTCATTTACATGCCAGTACCATTTTCTGGGCGCAGTGACTGCAAGACATGGCAGATACATTCCAGCCTCCATTCTGAAGTTGCGTACAAGAAGGAAAAGCTTGTAGAATAATGTCTTCTTATAATGAAATTAATGGAATCCCAAGCTGTGCACACATTAGATCTCGACTAAGACACTCAGACAAGAGTGGGGCTTCAACGGGTAATAAGATAAAATAAATGTTGAAATGATGGGAATGAAATTTTTTTATGAAAAAAATTACGTATGGTCATAGGTGCTTTATTGTTGAAAAAACAGGTACATCGCGTGGGATTCCGATGCCGTCAACTTCCATCATGTTGAGCAAAAATACGCTTAAGACACCAGAAGATGCAGCTGCCGATGCGCTTAGATCTGGTGTTGTGATAATGCATTGCCATACTAGATTTTTTATTTATATGCAAGTGAATGAACTGATCAAATAAGCAAAAGATCGTATAGATGTCCGATTATGGATAGAATATCGTGGCCCACAACTAGAAATCTCGAATGTATCTGCAGGTCTGGGCAATGGTGTTTGGTTAGATATAGTGGCCAAGAAAGTCCCCGGAAATGAATTCCCTCGAGATTTTATGCACTGTTAAGTGGCATTTCGTTTAGGCAAAGCTAAAAATAACTGGTCGAAACATGAAAGCATCAATTTTTCCTGAAACGATCAACATATTAAGGAACTGTCGCACTTCACAAGAGAATGACCTAGGCATGTGTGACTCACCAAAGCATCAATGCAACAGCTGCAACAGCTATGGGTAAGGAACTTTTTTCAACTTCCGAATTCCGAGAGACAACTTACGAAATGCATAAAAACTTGTACCTGTCTTCTAATTTCTTAGAGAATGAATTTCAGGGATGGATGTGGAATGCTCAACCTCTGCAAGATCAAAAGATTTCCCTGTTAGTTACTTGAAGAGCTACACCAAATCAGCTTTAGAAAAGAAAAAAGTGACAATATGTGGAATAGACAGAGCCCTTCGTTCTCTATGAGGATGAGGCTAGGACTATTCAATGGTGATCCCACCAAACAGCTTTACGGCAATATTGCTCCAGACCAAGTCCGTTCCCAAGAACATCAGGCTCTAGCCCTTGAAGCAGCTCTAGATGGCATTGTCCTACTAAAGAATTCTGATAGGCTTCTCCCTCTTTCAAAATCAGGAATCTCTTCTCTTGTAGTTGTAGGCCCCAATGCGCACAATTCAACATACCTTCTTGGAAATTATTTTGGTACGGCCTGCAAAAATGTTACGATATTGGAAGTATTGCGGAAGCATATCAGCTCCGCCTCGTATAACAAAGGTTGCAATAAAGTTTTATGCACTCCCGCTGCAGTGAAGACATCAGCAGAAATGGCACAAACGGGAGATTAAGTGATATTAGTTGTGGGACTAGATCGAAGTCAAGAGGAGAGACTTGATCGCCAGGACTTGGTGCTCCCGGGAAGCAGCCAAGGCTGCAAAAAAAAAAAAAAAAAAAAAAAACCATTTGTTCTGGTGCTTCTTGGTGGAAGTCTAATAGATGTATCTTTTGCAAAAGAAAATAAAAAAACTGGGAGCATTTTATGGGTTGGTTATCCCGGTGAAGCTGCTGGAGCAACTGCACTACCGCAAATTATATATGGCGACCAAAACCCAGGTGAACTATTACGATGCTTGCAGTGTAATTAGGTCTATTAATTGCACTAGAAAGAAGGCAACGCATATTTTACTGCTAAATTATTTTCAATTGAGTGATGTTCATCTTGCTGCCATGCGGAAGGGAGATTACCAATGACTTGTTATCCCCAGGATTTCACCAAAGTGCCAATGACAGAAATGGGAATGCGTCCTCAACCGTCAACAGGCAATCCCGGTCCCGCCTGCAGATTCTATGAAGGTGAAAAGGTTTTCGAACTCGGGTATGGTCTCAGCTACACAGACTATTCTTATGAGTTTGCCTCTGTTGCACAAAACCAGCTGAATGTAAAAGATTTATGTAACCAAATGTCTGAGAACTCAGACACTCCCGGATACAAGCTAGTTTCAGACATTGGTGAAGAACAATATGAAGATATTACGTTTACAGTCACCGCCAGCGTTAAAAACGAGGGACAAATGGCAGGTAAGCATCTGGTATTGCATTTTGCGAGGCACGCAAAGCCTGGAAAAGGAAGGCTAATCGAAGAGTTGGTTGGATTCCAAACCGTGAAATTAGGTGCAGGATAGATTGCTGAAATTGAATATAAGTTGAGCCCATGCGAGCACTTCTGCAGTGCTAACGAAGATGGTTTGAAGGTGATAGAAGAAGGATCTCACATCTTGCTTGTTTGAGACAACACCCAGTCACTATTATAGTCTAATACTCAGTAATGATTCTTCAACCTCAGTGGGTTGCAATTTTATAGTACAATTATGTAAACAAATAATAGCTTCCAAACATGGATTGCCAATTTCAAATGTCTGGAACGAATAGCATCGCATCTTTAACAATCTTATCCTTAAGTAAATGATTTAGAAATCACTATCTCATGTGTTCTAGCTTGCCTAAATTTATACTGCCTACCAACAAAACACTCACTGATGGAAAATCTTAACTAGTTTGATCTGATACAAACATCATCATCATAACAATATGCAAGCACGGGCCAAATGATCAGGAGCATCCCATGCTTTTCACCTCATCCCTTACTAGAACTGGCTAAAGGATATGAATATATGATTGTGTATTTATATTATTTAAAATGCACAAATACATCTTACATTACTAAAAACTGAATACTAAAACATAAACGTTTTTGTTGTTGCTACTAGTATAAGCAATTGCGTGTTGCCGCAAATAAATTTATAAATTCTATTAGTTGTGATAATTTTTTTAATTTAATATGCATTTTGTAATATTTAACACCATATTTGTATATTTTATGAATATGTTTGATTTTGATCAATAAAAACACACACACACACACACACATGATCAAAAAATTAAAAAGAAAACACACAATTAATTAAAAAGAAAACTAATTAGATTTGTTTGTTTTGACTGTGGGAGGCAATATGTCATGGAGAAAAATTAGTTCTACTCATCCCCAACGTCCACAAAATTCCCTGGCTTTAAAGAATCAATACCTGAGCAAAGCTCCGAAGTGGAAAGATGTTGGTTGGATTCCAAAGCATGCAGGGAGAGAGCTGAAATTTAAAATGCTTGATCCCTTGCAAGCATCATGGCAGTACTAACTGCTACAAATCATGGTCTGATGGTGACGGAAGAAGGATCTCAGTTTGTGCTCATCAGAGACAGAGCAATCAATCACTGATTGTCCAAAGACAGTGGCTTCCAAAAATGGTCTGCTAATTTCAGCTGCCTAGGATGAATATGCCATATTTGAGGCCATCTTTTTCTCATAAGACTGCAGAAGAAAGCCTCAAATGGTTCTGAAAAAATAACCATTTGAAGTGCGGCATGCCTAAAATTATAGTGCAGATGTGCACGGGCAAGGACGGCAGGACTTACTAAATAGTTGACACAGAACCATGTTAAACAATGCTCCATGGTATCCTGATCCAGTTGTATGAACCAACCATAAGCTGTGACAAATAGTGCATTGCAAAAAATTATAACAGAAATGGAAATATTGGCACTAAAGGGGAATTTCCCAGACAATGGGACTGCCCTTATATCTCTGTTTCACTAATTCTAAAGAAATGACTGCCTCATAATTTTGAAGAATGCACAAAAAATGTATAGAAGAGGGATTTTCCCATTACTGTCTTAAACATATATTGTTAGGTTTATTTGCCACAAACCATGACACAAGTAACAGAAGCAAAATCAAAGTGTATGCTATTAATACATGAGATTCCCTAGCAAGGGAACAGTAGCTGACACTTACAGCATTTCCACCACTTCTGAAAGTGGCAAAAACAAAGCCAGGGTCATCCCTTGCTTTCCATGTCATTGCAGGAACAGTTATCTCACGTGTCCCATCTGAGTGTGTGTGATCACAAAATTCATGCGTATGTGCACTGAAAACTATCCTGCAAACAAAGGCAAAGGCCACGGTAATAATCTTAAGAAGTCACTGTTTGATGTGCTCAGAAAAAACACAAGAATGCATCAAGCATCAACAATACAAGCATATCGACTTCGTCTGTCCTTTAAATTCAAGATGAGTACGTAAAACAAAGTATCAGCCAATATTCTCTTTCCACTGTAAATGCAACAGTTAGCTATCATCAACATAAGGATTCATAAAATTACCTTGGTTTAAGAGCCTGAAATATGTATTCAGTAGCATTTGGAGGGATTGTATGCAATAAATCATAGGATCCAGCACCAGTAAATCCCCTAAAATGAAAAAATAAGAAAATTTAAGAAACAGAAACCCCAATAGTGAAAGTTCTAGCTAGCAATTTCATAAAACAAAATAAAAGACATAGAAAGGACTATAAAATCCCATAGGAATACAACTCAACATTGCAAAACTGTAGGAAACAACATTGTTTATGTGACTCCATGAGTTGGATTTCACTCAACCATAAAAAAGGGAATTCAACATCACACCTGTACCTCCATATTTAACTTAAAGTTATCCGTGCATAAGCAAATGTTGATGATATGACATGAAACAAGTGGGCAAAACAACATTGTTTATATGAAAAAATCATATCGCTTTCAGCAGTAAAACATTGTGAAGAATAAAAACCAACATTCATTGATATCAGCATATGCAAGAATTCCACCCACCTGCTACTCTCTAACGCATTCAAGCCCTGTCCTAAAGGCACGTGAGCTTTTCTAACAATATTCCTTTCCTTACAACCACCATTTGCTGCCCGATGCAAGGGAAAATGAAGCAAGAGGACAGGACCCAATCCAGATGACACTGCATTCTCTCTCCTCCCAAAAGCATCAGACATTTTCGTAAATTCTCCATAATCATCCATTTCTTTCTCCGTTTCCATCCATGAACCTATTCTTTCCATCTCCACTGCCTTCTCAACACTAAACCTTAACTTATTATTACCACAAAGCAATGCAACCGCATTAAGCGAAACAAAACTAACATTGTCAATATCAAACGCACCACAACCAGATGAATCTAACCCCGGAAAACTCCTAGCTATCCAATAAACAGAATTCGCATCGAGCCCGCTACACCCTCCAACATCCCTATCACCAAGAACAACATGAAATGGAAGCTCAATAAATGGCCCTAACACTCGATGAAACTGATGTAACACTGATACCCATTTACCCCTTGTCAATGTCGATCCTCTCGCCGAAACATCCCCCATTACCAGCAGTATATCAGGCTTTAAATAATAAAAAGATTTCTGGTTCACATTGAAAAAATTAAAGTCAACATTTATTCGAATTAATCATTAAAATTTAAATGTAAAAAAAGAAAGAAAGAAAGAAAGAGATTAATTATTATTACCTTGAAGAACTTGGACATGTAATAATCTCTAAAATAAAGGTTAAAAAAACTAGTATCGGATCCTAACAGTAATAAATTGGCGACCAACATGACTTTCAAATCATCTGGGTTGCTGTTTTCCTCTTTAACGACGTCGTATTCCTGTTGGTTGAGATTTGTATTGGGTAAGATGTTGCAAGAAGGAATTGAAATCCAGTGTTCGTAAAAGAAGAGAAAGAGGAATGGTAGGAGAGGTAAGAGTGGTTTCCATGTAAATAGGACCATTGTTGATTTGTTGAGAGAGGGACACGGGGAGCTGTAAGTTAGGGTTTCCGTTAGAAGCCATTCTTGTTGATTTTTGACTCTTTCATTTCATATTCATGGCAAATGTTAGAGGAAATGTTGGGATTCGATTCTACTTCTGGGGATTTCACATTTGCTGCTGTTTGTTACTGTCAAGTCCGTCAGGTTCTGTTTTTTCACGTTTTAAATATTAGTTTTTTGGCACTTCAATTTATACAAAGTAGTTTTTCTTTTTCTTTTTCCTCAATTGAAGGTTTAGGGAGTAAATTATAAATTAGTTCCTCTAATTTTAGGAAACAAATTAATTATTTTTTAAAAAAATATTATAAATTAGTTTTTTGGCACCACTCTAATTTAATCTTTTTTATTTTACAAAATATTTTATTTTTTCATAATATTTCTATATTTTTTTCTTTTTATTTTTAACACAAAAAAATAAATTAAATTAAAAAAATAATAAGTTACAAATATATTTAAAAATACGAAGACTAAATGATTATTTTTTTTGAATGAGAGGAATTAGTTAATTTATTTCTTAAAACCAAATAGACGAATTTATAATTTACTGGGGAACATTTTTTCATAATATTTTAATATTTTTTTCTTTTTATTTTTAACACAAAAAAATCAAAATAAATTAAAAAATAATAAATTACAAATATATTTAAAAATACGAAGACGAAATGATTAGTTTTTTGAAATTAGAGGAATTAATTAATTTATTTCTTAAAATCGAGAGACGAATTTATAATTTACTCAAGATTTACAATAATTTTTTTTTTAATATTTACATATGGTAAGATATTTTAGATCAAGTTTCGCATAAATCAAAACTAAATTTATTGTTTTCTAAACTAAATCAGTAACAAAACACGTTTACCTCAAGACTTAAACTTAGAATATATAATGAGATAACTCTCTTATTATATAATAACTAAATTAATCAAATAAATTTGAATTATTAAGATTAAAACTTGTATAATTTTTCTTAATATATTGTTAATATATTTAAATGTTTATTTTTAAATATTGCAATCCATAGCCTTAGATTTTATTTGTTTATTTATTTTGTCTTTTTTTTAACAGCTTAGCCTTGGACATTTGAGCTTAGGCCTGAACCTGGACATATACACGAAAATGCTTTCGTAAATAATTATACTCTCCTACTCACGAGCCATAATTATCGGATCACTTTGCTTTATTACTGGGGGATGTCACTTTTATGCGAGTAGAACGGTACGTCAAATGTATCTGATAATCTCTTGAATACTTGATTTTTCTAATTTTTTTGTCACTTATTTGATAAGTTTATGCTGTTCGTGAAAAAAATAAAAAATAAATCATATTGTTTAGGTTGCTTCTCTTATCTAATATCTAACGAGTTACTCATACGAAGAAAATATATATATATATATAAAAAGGTTCAAATATATTTGATAAAACATAAAATGTTCATTAAGGAGATAGATATTTAGAACTGGTTTGGGAAATTATGATTTTTGGAATTTTTTTAGCTCTTAGAGTTTTTTTTTTAAAAAAAAACAATAGAAAAGATATTTGATAAAATTTTAAAAATAACTTAGAATAGTAAAAAATATAAAAAATAAGTTTTTTTTTAAGTCTTATTTAACATAAAACATTTAACAACTGTACTGATCACTTTTACAAATAAAGCCACGCCTATAACAATCACAGCCACAACTAAAAGCTACCAAAAAAAAACCCTTTGATTATATATTTTAGTTAGGACTCAGGAGTATAATGACGTGGTCGTGCAAGAAGGGGAACCAAGAACAAAAAAGAAATGAAAACAAAATCAAATCAAAGGTCAACAACCAGAAGAAGTCTAAGACAAACATAAATAGTAGGAATCTCTATTGCAATGAATTATTAACAAAATCCAATAGGAAATTCTAAATTTCGTACAAAACCAAATATCGCTTTTTTTAAATAAAAAAGAAATTTCGGATAAATACAGAGAGCAGAGATCTCTGGTTGTTTCATGCTACTACAGATAAACTGTAAAAACGAAAAACCAAACCTTCCGAATCTCAAAAATAAAAAATAGTAATAATTGAAGAAAAAGAAGGGCTCAGAGAGTTGCTGTATGTGCTCAGCGAAGAGCTTTGAAAAGCTATTCTCGTACAAGAGGTGTCAGAAATTATGAAGCACTCTTCATCGTAGCCCAAAATAAAATTATTAAATAATAATAAAAACGTAGAAAAAAAAACGAAAGAAGCAGAGGAATACAAACTAAATGCATAAAAGAGGCTGCCAAGCTTCCATCTAGGGTTTTTGAGAGCTGGGGTAGAGAGCACCGTAGTTGTTGGGGGATTTTATAGATTTTTTATGGGCAATATGGCATGACTATTGACTAAACCAAAACAATCAAAACAACAACAACAATAATAATAAATGATAAATGGAGGCACGGCATGCCTATTGTTGAGCCGAATTAAAATACATTTGTATTCCTTTCTGGATTTTTGTTATTCAAAGTTTAACTAACGACCATTCTTTACATCAATTTGACCTTTAGGAAAATCAGAAAGTCTCTAGTTAGCTTGACGACCTTTTGATTCTTGAGGCACCCTAAGAGAAGCGAAGGAGTTAGTGGATGCATTACACAATTCCCATTTTACAACATCGCATATAATGACAGAAACAGTTTCCTTTAATATGATCATGGTTATTCACTTTGCAAATTGCACATCCCGACGAAGTCAACTCGTCTGAGATAAGTTGAGAAGGTTAAGGGCCTGCTGAGTGCTGAATGAACTACGGTCCATCGGGACCCTTTTAGTAGCTTTTATTCATATTTTCTTGTTGCGTGCTCTTTGCATTGAATATTGAGTTGGAAAATCTTTTAGTAAATGTTTACCAACCAAAGAGCGCCATCACCAAACAATTTTATGGTAGTTTAGTCATGCCAACAGCTTAAATTTCTCTGGTTTTCACCAACCCTTCTTTATGCTTAAATTTTTTGTCACTAAAAATTCTATTCTCAGTTAAAAGTTAAATTTCAGTTGCACTGTCTGCGTAAAGAATGTTCACCATGCACGTAAACAGCTGACATTGTCCATATGAATCTTGAATTTGCTCCTCGTTTTACGAGGATACCCTTTTTTTCGAACTTGTTTAAAGATTTGGAAAATTGGAATACAAAATGCTATGGCTGCTCTCTATTGGATAGTTGAGAACTACCACAGCAATTTTTGGCCAAAAACAAATAAGACTATTGTCACGGCGTATTGTTACAATATTTGTGATAGATTTTCACAATGACCATGTGACTCTTACAGTTATTTGATGTCTGGGAACTAGCTCAATTTGTTATTATATTTTAAGTTTTTTCGATTTGCTTTACAAGTTATTTTTCAATATATTCTTTTAGTAGATATTTTCATATAAACCGATTGAAATACTTTTATTTGGCATATTGATAGTCCATCAAATTTATTTTTTTAAAATAAATTTTAAAAAGAAAACAAATTGTCATATGTTGTTAAGATTCAAAGTTTTTTCATGGTCAATTTTTTTCTGATAAATTAGCTTAGATTTGGGTTTCTCATGTGATAGCATTTTCGTTAATTTAATTGTGAATATCTGACAAAAATAATAAATTGATTAACGATTATATATTTGAAGAAACAATCGAACTTGTAAGAACAAATTAAAAACTAGGTATAATATATAAGGACAAAATAAACTAATTTCTCTTGATATTTTGTTATGAAATCAAGCCTTACAAAGGCATCCCTTGATTTCTTATCAGGAAAATAAAAAATCAAGACAGAAATCCATCAAGGTTCGAGATAAATTAAAACAAAAAAGAAAAACAATCCGTATGTGTGCTTTGATTTGTATTTTTACGGATGTTTTACTTTGTTTGTCTCTGACATGTGTCCATGCAAACTTTTATTCATCTAATTATTTTGTGCATTTAGACTTAAAAAAATCCTTTGTCGTTTCATAGTGAAAAGGTACGCAACAAATACAGTAATAAAATTTATGATCACTGAAATTTATATGGGCAAACATACTGATCAACTGTGTTGATATGATGCACCACTGTAAATTTTATGTATATGCATATCACCACGTTTAAAAGATAACTTGTTAAAAAAAAATCGATTCACTTTAAAAATAATAATAATTTGATACAGAAAAGAGGAAAGTCCACCTAAATTACCTTTATATTTGTATCAATTCAGTAAACAAGCTGTTTTAAAAAAGATTTGATCAAGTTTTTACTCTATACGTACAAAATACATTCAATTCAATTCAATTGGACTAACTTATAAATTGTGAGATTACTACAAAATTTTTTTTTTGAAAATGTCTAAGAATAAAAAAATTAATTTGTTTTAAAAAATTAGGAAAAAATGCTTAACGAATAAAAAATATTTTAAAAAATCAAAATATTATAATGAATGAGAAAATTAAAAATTTTCTAAAAAATGAAATTTTCAAAATTTTTAAGAATTAAAAAATTCCGAAAATACTTACTCATGAAAATATTTTTAAAGAGTTTAAGAAATTTTTTAACAAAAATTAAACTCTAAAAAATTTAAAGAAATAAAAATTATATAATTTGTAAGGAAACGAAAATATTAAAAAAAATGCTTAGCCATTAAATTTTCTTAAAATGTTCAAGGAAATAAAAATATCAAGATTTTCTAAAATATTCACTGGTTAAAATTTTTAAAGGAATTTTTTTTCTTTTGCAAAAATAT